CTCTGAAACTACAGTTGGGGAATTTTTGTTATGGATAGCCTATTTATTAAAGAAAGGCAAATATTAAAAGATTACATAATCTTATTAAAAATACCCTACATGGCTCCTATTGGTCATAAGTTCATAATGCTATGACCATTGTGACCACAAAAGAGCACTGTATTGTGTATTTTATTGAGTATTACACACAATACACAAATTAGTAACTTCAATGCAAGTGAGCTCTGGAAGTTACTGTGTACTAGCTTTATTATTGAATGTGTCTCATTAGTTTACACAAAATACATAGTAGTAAGTACTAAACCTGGTAGACTTTAACATGTTAATGGAATGGACCAAGTACTGAAGTGGTTGAACAAGTGTTTATGTATAAATAATTATTGTATATACATTTTTTAAGGGGGTAAAAACATCGAATTACTTCTCCCGGCTGGGTGAGGCGGAAGGGAGTGTCAGAGTCTTACTGCCTAAAAATTACCCCGTTCGTACTACAGATCCAGAGCCCAGCAACCCGTTAAGTCCTTCTTAGCGTATAAACATATTATGACTTGACAGCTTAATGACATCCTGGTTTAATTAAATATAAGGATTGTTTCAATGATTTTGTACTGTCCTGCCTGTACCTGTAGGTTTGTATATTGACTTATTAAAATGATATGATGTCTACTAACATTAGTTTTAAAGTTAAATGTTACTAACAAAGGTATGGACATGTTTTTATAATAACTATCGTGAGACATACTAAATTAACTAAAATCGCAGGTTACTCACGTGAATAAACTGAGAAAAGCTCTACTAGTTTTTTTCTCAGTATATTCACTTGAGTAACCCGCAATTTTAGTTATTAAAGTATGGACATGACCTGAAATAAATGATTATTTATTATTATTATGTACTTTCAGTGTTTAAGGTTCAGAAAGGTCATATGATGGTATTATAATTTGACACAGGTCCTTTTCGGACACGGCTGCTTCGGAAAGTACTTGTGTCGTATAGGCCGGGAGCAGACGTCGGCGTGTCATCAGTGTAATGACAATTTGGAGGATACGGCGCGGCATACGCTCGAAGAGTGCTCTACATGGGCAGAGCTGCGTCGTGAACTCATTACAGTGCTCGGAGGGAATGATCTCTCATTGCCGACCGTAGTGCGAGCTATGGTTGACAGTGAGAGTGCATGGGATGGAGTCGCTTCCTTCTGTGAACGTGTCATGTTGGCAAAGGAGGCGGCTGAAAGGGAGAGGGAGGCGTCCAGCTCTCTCCCTTCTCGCCGTAGACGCGCCGGCCGTCAACGCCGCGAGGTGGTAGCTGATCTGCGACCTCCATAGGAGAGACCTTCGGGCGACTGATTAGGGGAGTCAGTCGTCCGCTGTATGGGCGGGAGTAGGCGTTAGCGGTGTGTTCACGCGCGCCACTCGAGGAAGAAAATCGCAGCTTTTAGGGCTGCTACGTGGTGGGACCTGCCACAATGTAGTGGTAGGTCGAGGCTTGCCGGGTGCGGTGAATCCGCAAGGGCGTCCCGGGTCACGGCCACAGGCAGAGGAGGAACACTGCGGTGGTTTTAGCTGGTAAGAGTCCGGCACACCCCCTCGTCGTCCCCACGGCGTGGGAAGTCCATGAGGATTACCATCGCGTTATAAAAAAAAAAAAAAAAAATGTATTATAATAGTGAAAGAAAATCTTACTTTTTCTCATTATCTCCTTAACCTGTTTTGGTGTTTCCTGTGATACTTTGATCAAAGACTGGAGCTTCTTTGGAGTTTTCATTGGTGAGTCCACAGGCTTTGGAGAATAAATAGCTGTCTTTACTTTGTTTTGTAGGTCCTGCTTTGTGTGACGAGATTTAAACTTGAACATATCCTGGCCTTCAACATCATCTTCAGTAAATAGAGCTGTAAAATTTTTACATCTAATTTATCTAAGACACAGATATAGTAGTATAGGAATACTTAAGATAAAAATGTAATAGAGATAACTTGTGGATTGATTCTTGCAGTCTAACAATATAATGACTTTTAACTATACATACCTAGATGTTATTACAATTTTATTTTCATTTGGACTACAAAATTGTATTAAGACAATACCTGTGGGTTTCGGTAAAGCAGCTTCATCGTTAATTTCACTGTCTTCTTCAGAAGAGCTCATATCTTTGTAATTTCTTCGCTTCACAGGAGAGTTATCTAAGAAATCACCATACTTCTTTGGTTTGGACCTTATTCTAGTTGTACGTCGTGATGGAGATTCTGTTTCATTACGATCCTCTGTAATTTTTTATTAAATTTAGTTAGGGTTCAGGCGTTACATATATAGTATTAAGGAATTAAACAAGGAAAAGACGTCATAAATAGAAATAAATAATAGTAAAGTAATCTGCTAATGAACTTACCAATAACAGAATGATTTTCACCAAAACGAAGACGGAAACCGCCACTAGCCATGTTGCTTGTTAAATAAAAATAAGAAACGCACACAATAAACGACCAAAAAAATATTATATTTCAAATCTTAATTCTAATAGGCACTCATTTATTCAATAATATTCTGTATTAGCTTTGATTTTTAATTATAAATATTAAACTCGCAAAACAAACAACCGGTACACGAACACCTGTCGGTGACATAACATTGCATCTGCCAAACTTACTTTTTAATTTCACATTTTCACGATTTCTTTGAGCCATGGGTTTTGGATTCCCCTATACCTACTATTCTCTTTGGTTTTGGGGTTTCGGGATTTTGATGACAAGTACATGATCCGAAAGTTTCTTTATAATATTATAATTTATTTATGCATTATAAGTTGGATAACATCCCTGGCAAAACCATATACGGAAAAGACGTCGAAAAAACGGACGCCTTCTTTTCAACGTTGCCTATAATACGATCGGAAAGGATGTTTATTGTCAGAAATTATAATAAATATCATGACGGTTAATAAATTGAAAGTCTGCAAAACCAGTCCTCCAGGATCGTGAAGAGGTAATGAAAATTAGTACTGCGGTTTTAAGGTAAAATGTGAAATAGTGATTGGAGGCACTGAGTCGTTTCAATCGAAAGAATTATTTTGAATTTTAATACATTCACATGCTTACCGATCATATATTAACATCAAGCGATGAAAGGAATCCTGTTGCAAAGAGATAAATATAAAAACTTGGAAGTCTTGTTAATTTCACCTGTTGCTTTATTCAGCAACCTCTCTAGCCTCTCCTCTAACCTTTACGCAATAAAACAACTCGGTTATTAAAAATATTTTATTAAATTTCGGAATTTAATTTCAATTGTAACAATTCTTAGATTTCGCATTTTACAAACATAAACATCACTAGAGAATGAAAAATAGTCTTCTTGCATCACACTTTGAAGTCTAGCAACATTTGCATTTTCAGTTAATTATCTTTTGTAGAAGTAACTTTTGGCATTGTGATAAATATCTAGATTACTAGATAGATACCTAAACAAACATTGATCTGAACATTATAACACTATGAACATTTGAAACACACTTAATAATAACAACCAAAAATAGTATAACAAGAATTAAAGTGCTTATAAGAATCCAAGTAGATTTAAATTATCACAGAAAGACAATTGTAACTCCAATACGATCTACTTGGAATCTATAGCGCTATTCCTATATCTTTTACAAGCAATGGGAAAACTTATAGCTAACTTAATATTACAGGACTTCAGTCAATGACGTAGCAAATGAACTTAATAATTGAAAAAAAAACAGGATTATAAGTAGTAAGACTGAACTGGAAGTCATTAGAGGAAGTTTACTTTCAACAGTATATCTTGTGACTGACATGAAAATGATTCTAAGTACATAATTAAAATAATGCTCTTGAAAAATATTCTATTACCTACAAGTTTAAAACTATTGTCATATTTCGGTATACAGACCTATTTAAACATACCTGACCAACATAAAAAATACCGTTTTTAACGGCGATTTCAGGGTCTGAACGGCATTTTCATAGGTAGACTTATTATGACGGTAGCTACGTCACAACTGCAGCCAATTAAAACATGGTTTATGAGTAAAATTCATCAAGCAAATCAGTAGAAACTAAGTTACATAGTGTACTTGAGGGTCGCTGCACTAAAATGTAATAATAAAGTAATTATATTAAAGAACCACTTAACACTATTATAGCACATTAAATCGCATTATTTCTACATATAACTAAAAGGCGAGCAAATTACATTCTAAATAAATGAGCAACAGAGGTCCAGGGATCGTATGAGACATTAACTTGATTTGATATTTTCAGATATTAAATGTTTTTCAAAAAGTTTACAATCTACTAGATACTTTGGAATAGAAAATAATTATTTTTTTTTGTTAACTAAACATAACTGAACTAAATTACAACTGTTTCGATAATACTATCACTAATTTATTTTATAAGTGTTTCGTACTGCCTCACTTTGCTTACTTTTTGTCAATGAAGACTTAAATTAAAATTCATAAAAAATACAATACACATTTATGATCCATTTCACTTAAAACTAATTACTGTACTATTTAGTAACATAATAATATAATTATTACTGTTATAGCTGTTTAACAGACTGTTTAAATCAATAGTTTGTCACTTTGGTTATAAAATAAGGAAAGAAAGACTGTTCGTTGTCCAATGAAAATATGTAAAATATATATATATATTTATATATTTATATATATATATATATATATAAATATATATATATATAAATATATATAAATATATAATGATAACATTATATTGTAAAACATGTACAGATTTGATAGAAAATAGATTTACATAGAAATTGATCGTTGATTTTTAAAATTGACGTTACCGCCTTCGGTAATTCAAAGGTCATAAGTAATTCAGCCCAGCCAGGGCTGGAAGTAGTCATCAATAAGTCAGTTTCATAATTGATTTTCAACTTTATGACTATAACATAAGGTTTATTAATCTACTCAGGATATGTAAAAATACGAATAAAGGATTCAGATTGTTGGACAAAGGTTTAAAGACAGAAAAAAATATAATACAAAATCATATAAGCAACACTGTGCTTACAATAGTAGCAAAATGTCAGAATTAACTCGTTGAGTACCGTCATTATAGACACAATTGTAGAACAATAGGTTACGGTCACCGGTGACCGCTTGGTGTTTGACAGTTTAATATACAAAATGCAAGTCTTAGGATAATTATTGCTCGAACATAGTTCTTGTTTTAAGCCACTGAATGTCTTTTAACCCTAACATAGACTCAGAACTACATAGTGGACAGTCTAGCATCTCGTTTATGTACATTTGAGGCTTAGGACAAGTTGTATAATAATATTTATTTTAATAACAATAGCAATAAGTAATTAATAACTCTTAGTAACTATGGACAATCGCTATCAGAGAGTACCTCCTGTCAATCAATGTACCTTCTGATAACATTGGCAGCTTCAGTCTGGCCTATATCTTCAAGGATCATCGCCAGCGATTTGGATGATATGTCATCACGGGAATCCTGAAAACATTTGATGTCAGTATTGTCTTACGCTAAGCTCATATAAACATAAATCACTTTTGACTAATACGGAGTTTAAAATTCTGCTGTTTATGAAGATTATTTTTTAACATGGTAAGAAGAATATTAAGTCTCTATTATGGTATCAATCACATCTGTCTATTAGAGTTGTATATAAAGCTGAAGTTTGTATGGTTCGAAACTACCGGTTCAAATTGAAAAAATGATTTTGTGATGGATAGTTCATATTGAGAAACGCCATTTTTTATGGCGTACCATAAAATACAACCGATAGGAGCTGAGTCGCCGGCGGAACCGCGTGTTGCGTATACGATTACCGTATGGAATAATCCATTGTGCGATCTACAGAATGTTGTTTGTGGTGTAGGTGTGATGTAATATGATCTTGTATGTTTATAAATGTATGGTATACCTTAAGATGATTGAGAAGTGTGAAGGTGGGACTGGCTTGCGCGGCGTACCACTCCATCAAGGAGTCGAGCCGCAGTCGCTGCGCCAACACCCGCCACGCGCCCGACACGTCCACGAGCACTGACACCTCGCGAGCGTACAGGTTCAACTCCTGTAGACCATTGTCTGGATAATCCTATAAACCAAAACATATTTGTTATAGTAAATTGACGATTTAGTAGTAAACTGATGCCTTTTTTTTACGGTGCCCCACACTCGGATTATCCCCTGTATCGTGGGTGGGTTTCCAAACATACAAGTTCACACCCAGACCCGAAACAACAATTTGTGGATCACACAAAGTGTTGTTCCGTGCGGGAATCGAACCTGCGACACGTTGCACGGCAGCCGGTTGCCCAGCCACCGCACCAACCGTGCAGGTATTTTTCATAAGTACCCATGATCACCTGTTGTGTACGTACCGATATGTCTGGTATAATGTAACCAGTCAGAAGTAATAGTCAAATAAGTTCTATTTGAATATTACTACAACTTACGAATATTATTAATGCGAAATTTTGTTGTGTATGTTTGTTATTCAGTCACATCAAAACGGCTAAACGGATCGGGATGTAATTTAGAACAGGAATAGATTATGGTCAGGAATGAGTCATAAGCTATTTTTAGAGAAATAGGAATGCGGGCGAAGCCGCTGGTAGAAGCTAGTACCATATATTACTTATTTTGAAGCAAGGGAAACATGCAATAATATTTAAAAAAATAGTTAGTGAAAATAATCTGTATTCACTTCAAATTAGAGTCCTCATTTCATATTGTACTTACACCTTCATCAGCAGATTCGAAGTCATCATCAGGTTCTGATTTGATATCATCTTCGTCCATGTATTCCATGTTGACGTAAGCTTTCATCAATTCACGAAGTTCCGGCTTCTTCTTCACAAGTATCCAGGCAGATTCGTTGCAATCCTCGTGTTTTAAAGGATAAGCCTGTGGAATAAAAATGTCGTTGAATTACTGAATTCTAGGAATATTATGTCCTTTTATTTATTTGTTACGATTTATTATTATGTAATATAATGGAGTTTCTTGCTCGTTCTTCTTCATAGGAATCTATTTATTTATTTATTGCAAAATGTATATACATAGTGGTATTATACTACTAGTACAGTACATCACCCTGTTAGGGCGCTGCAATTTAACTTATAAATTAATAATAACTAAATAATCATCTAGTATATTATGTACTTATTCTATTCATTATTAACTTAATTACTCACTATAAACTTATTACTATTAAAATTTCTTATCACTTATATACCTATATGATACAATTATATTATTTTATACATTATTTATTAGACATTTTAATTATAAACATTACAAATAATTTAAAGTAGCAACATTATTGAAATTTCTTTTTATTCTCTATTTAAAGTAGCAACATTATTGAAAAGTGAATTTATTTGCTTATTCCAAGGTGTAGACCTTGGAATAAGCAAATAAATTCACTTTACATTTTTTGTTCACCTACAAAAGTGCCTTTCTGGTCTAATTGAAATCAGCGATTTTGACTTTGACTTTGAAATTTATAAGATACGGCTATTAACCCATGGTATGCGGGGGCGCAGATCTAAGCGAGACAAAACGTATTTTCCTGTCTCATATATGCGCATACAAGAAGTTTTACACCCAAAACCTATTTTTAAGGAGCTGGGTATGTCTTATTTAATATTTACGCTCTTTAAATGTTGGATATCATAATGACTGTGACCATAACTGCCGATTTCAATCAAAAATCTTTAAATTGGGATCGATATTTTGATGTATTATCTTGATATTAATCAAGACGGATTCAAAGTGTACCTATTTAATTATTTTACTACGCACCTTCTTTTCCAGTAGAAGCCGAGCGATTTCAACAGAATTCTCCCTGATCGAAGTGCCTCCGCAGACGATCTGAAGAGCTGTATTACCAGCGCCGTCCATAACGTCGATTTCGCTCTGAAATTTTTAAAATGTTAAGTTTTTGTCGCCATATTTCTGGTATTTTTATCATAAGTGCCACTGCATCAATACATAGTATAAAACAAAGTCGCTTTCGCTGTATGTCCGTATGTATGCTTAGATCTTTAAAACTACGCAACGGATTTTGATGCGGTTTTTTTTAATAGATAGAGTGATTCTTAAGGAAGGTTTATATGTATATACATATTGCACCCGTGCGAAGCCGGGGCGGGTCGCTAGTTACTTATAAATTTTATTAGAAAGCGTCTATGGGGAACCAAACAAGTCGTATCGAGTTCGATACATAGCTATGAATTGAGGACCGAAATTACCGAAGGCCCAATCTTACACCATCCCCGAGCCCTAACAGTTGAGAACGCATTTGTAACTTCTCTATTGTTGCGGGTGGACCTGATTGCTCACTTTGAGGTGTTCCATTTGCTCGTTATTGTGTTTATTAAAGCATCCACAACACAGGGGGAAATCCTTTTACGCTATTGACTACTTCATTTGCCGAATAGTCGAGTGGTAGCCACCGAGAACTAAATTGTATTATTACTTGTCTACATTGTATTATTATTACTAAATAAATAATAATATCACTTCACTTGCGAAAATGCGTTTCACGTATTATTTTTACTAGGCTTGGGCGCCTGGGGTGAAGTATAATAATAATAATAACAATCGTTTATTTGCAAAAACAGATTATAGTGCTTATGTAATTGTAGCATCATTTTAAGCAAGAATAAGTTTTAATATGAAAAGCTTACAGGAGGTATGAAGTCGAGTAGTACGTTCATGACGGCGAGGCGGTCGTCGTAGGCGGCGAGGTGCAGCGGCGTGCGTCCGTCCGCGTCCCGCGCGCTGTAGCTGGCGCCGTGCTGCAGGAGCAGGCGCACCCCGCTCTCCCAGCCAGACACCACCGCCATGTGCAATGCGGTCTGTTTCTCTGTTGCGAAGACAAAACATTACTTTCAGTTAAGTAAAATCGTGCTCATGAGGAAGAACCCCTCTGTGGTTCGAAACTAGAGCTTTTCTCAGTATATTCACGTGAGTGACCCTCGGTTTTACTTAATTTAGTATGTCTCACGATAGTTATTATAAAAACATTACTTTCAGTGTTCATATCATCAGAACTGGGGGCATGCTCTTGAATCCAACTCCGATCGATCGACATTGGTATTGTGAAATTTCGTACTCTTAAATTGTAACACTAGCGCCCATTGCAACCATATTGCGTGGATATTGAATAAACTAAATTGTAATACGTTTGGCTTTTTATACCGTACTCTGAATGCTATTTGAACAGCTAACATTAGGGTTGTATAGTTTTGACATTGAATAATTAATGAGATTTCATTGGATTGAAATTGCAACATTGAGGTTGGTTTTAAGAGTAAGCACCCATGTTAAAGAGAAGCTGTACGTGAAGGTGGAAGGGGTTGTTTATTCCAGGGTCATCTTTAATATCTCTCTTCCTGCTGTGAAAAATTATCTAGTAAAGAATGCCATGCAGTATTAAGTACGCCACTGTATAATAGGGTAGATGACAAATTTTTATTTTAAAGTCCGTCTGGTAGATTATTTTAAAATATTACACACGTATTTTTTATTTTTTTAAAGAAACGAATACTTTCGCCGATATATTGAATTGAAATGTGGCGTGACGTCACTTCTATGTACATTTTGTAGAAATGACGTTTTAGCTCCCACTTCTAAACTTAGATTCGTGATATCTAAGTATCATTTTATTATACAACAAAATAAAAAATACGTGTCTAATATTTTTTCATTACCTAACTGACGGACTAATTAAATTTTTAATTTTCATACCCTGTCATCATCCCTATTATGTACGTCAAGTGTTTTAAACTGTCAAACACCAAGCGGTCATCGGTGACCGCAACCTATTGTTCTATAATTGTGTCTACATAACCGGTACTCAACGAGTTAAAATAAATATAAACATATACATAAAAAGGCTTCTTCCCACACGGAGAAGGAATGAGCATTAATCGACATGCTTGCTCATTGCGGAATTTGAATCTTCATGATGTTTACGTTCACCGTATTCTAGGTTCTCAAAAAAAAAACTGGCACCTTAGAACCTTTGTGCATGGGTTTTAGCAAGTCTAATAGCTATAAAAGATGGCGCTATAGTCAGAGCGCCGAACAGAGCGGTTAAACCGCGCGAAAGTAAATAAATAAACTTATCTCCTTCGACAATACTTATATATAAATACACTGCTTGTTTTCTTTACAAAAAATATATTTGTAAAAATAGCTATAGACCTACCTCCATTGTATTCGTTCAAGTTACAAGGCACGTTGTTCTTCTTGATCGTGTCGAGTAAAGTCTCGAGGCACGACTTGTATTTAACTGCGTAGTGGATCACGTTCAGATCTTCGTCGTCTTTCAACATTGGATTTGAACCTGGAATAACACAAGTTAAATTGGATATTTTCCTGGGTGAAAAATAAATTATTTTGATTTTTCAATCCAATTAAATATTCAATACAATATACTTAATTTTCGATTTATTTATAGCAATTTTTTCAGAAATAAGTGTGCTATTTGACTCGGAAATATGATGACGTCATATGTTAGTTTTTGGTACAAAATTCGTAGAACAATATCGTTTTTGACGTTTTCGATAAAAGTATTGAATTTGATTAGTTGTAAAATACCGTATTATAAACAGTTGAAATAATCTCGATCTTTAAAACTCTACTCCATTCTTTATTCGAGACACTTTGGTAAATAGTTTTATTTCGAGCAAGGAGTTTCAGATCCGACCTCCGGGTTGGTCTGGCATTGGTATCTGGCATTTCTTTGTTCGATCCTGAATTGAACTCGAAGTCTCAAACGTTACGCTAGATCAACGACAGAACGATAGAAGTTACTATACATATTAAAAAGCCTTATTCTAATGTAAATTTACCTTTGGAAACGAACAAAGTGACCATTTTAGGCATGTCGTTGACAACGGCGAGGTGCAATGGCGTCTGTTGTCTCTCATTGGCGAAGTCGAGCAGATGCGTTGCTTTCACGCTATGAATAATCTTCACTATGTACTCCAAACTTGGCTGGTTACTGCATAGAGTCATGTGGAGGAACCTGAAATTTTAATCATAGTAAGTTTAAGTGTGGGAGAGCCATGGTTCGGCATGAATAGGCCGACTCGAAGAGAGAAACCATAGACCGGCCTCATAGAAAAGAAGTAATAGGTGTCTAATGTTTTAAATTAATCTACCAGACGGACTATGAAATAAAATTTAGGAAACTACCCTATTGTTATCGACACCCGCAGAAAGCGTACTGGTTGATTTTTTCTAACCGTACTGCTGGTTTAGATTGAACTATATGAGCGTTTCATGATATAAGCATTTTAGAAATATTACAAGTTGGACATTAAAACATAATTTTAATGAAATACTTACGTATCTCCATTCGACAATCGTATTTCGAATAACCTTTCCAAACGGCTTTTGACTTCTGCTTTTTTGAAACCTTTCTTGTTTCTAATCATTTCACAGATGTCTTTCACTAGCTGCAATAAAAAACAAATATTTGGAAATAAACAACAGATTAAATTAGTATGTTATGATTTTTTGAGTCAACATTTTAGAAAAGTTTAGTTGTCTTACGGGTTGGTTGTTACCCTGGTTGACAATGAACAGATTGCGAATATTGATCGAAGTCAAAGAATCGGCGTCGAATAAAAGGTGATACGCGATTTACATCAAAATAAAAAGGTCTCTACACTATTATAACAATATTGTCAATTACCGAATTCGTAGTAACTGGACAATAGACGACTATAAAAAAGATAACATATTTTACTACCTTGTAACGAAGGTGCAAGGAAATAATGTAATCATTAGAACAGAAAAATGCTTCTATTTCGATCAGTTAAGACGCACATGCGTATACGTAAGCGTACACGCACACGTACTTCGTGCTCGAACCTATCTACTAAAGTATCACATTTATGATGCCTTCAAACAACATCACTAAAAGTTGTAAGATATTTCAAACTCCATAGGTAACTTGAATATTAAAAAAATGCGCCCCACATTTGTACAAGTTCAAATAAACTATAAAACATGAAATACCAAACAACTTTTAACAATGCTATTTCAAGTCGTCAAAAATGTTCCTAGTTACCTACTTATTTTAATGTAATAATAATTATAATTAGTAAACTTTTTTCGTAACCTATTCTTAGTTCTTACTATTTTTTCCAAGTAAATATTAATTCGTTTACCTTTTAGGCTTCACATGATTTTTAGTTTAATAATAGTTAAAAAAAAACTCTACATTTCTCTCCTGTGTCGAGTATCGCGAGTGCGTTTATATTAACCTGTATTTTCCATTAATTTCGAAACGAAATTTTAACGCCAACCGTGCATTCAAAAGATAGGTAAAAGTGCTAAATAATGTATAATATTAAAAAGTATAAATAAGTGAACGTCCTAACAACTACATTACTACCTTGCACCTTCGTTACAACATAGTAAAATGCTGTACCTTTTTAACTTCGATCCCATCTTCTGTCTTATAGAATGCTGGGTACTCGGTCTTGGGTTTTATATCTGGCGTCTTGCTCGGGCTACGCGCGGGCTGCTGCATTCTATCACCTTGCAAACGCATATCGTTCTTGTTTTCTTGCTAGAAAGATTAAACACAATGAAATTATAAACTATATAGACTGCCTCATTGGCCGAGTGGTCGCAAGTGCGACTGCCGGGCAAGGGGTCTCCTTTTCGATTCCCGGTCCCGGGTCTAAAACTCTAGATAAGTCTACAGTTATACCCGGTATATGGCAATAGGATCACCCCTTATTACATGGGCCTCATTACATAAATAGTGAAAAGCGAGTGTTATATTGTATAGTGGCATTAAGTACCGCAATGATCATCTTAATGATTCACTTAAGGGGCCAGTAGAATGCCAGCGCAAGACCCACCCTGTCTTGTACACGCCGAACTGGTCCTATTTCACGGTTTTTTGTTTCTTTTTTCACCTATACCTACCTCTTTGGGTATAAAAGGCGTGATGTTATGATGTTATATGAAATTATAAACATGAATACTTTCGCATATACTCTACTACGTAAGGATTTGCCCAATATGTAAATGGATGTACAAGACCTTACAAGAGCTTTGACAATCTCATTCTTAAAGCTAATGCCGTCAAGATGAATATAACCATAACCAGTTTATTACGGTCTCAGTTTGTATAATTTTGACGCTCATTTAAGAGTCTGTTTACACTGGATTTGCATGGCTTATATGTATGTAGACAGAGATCAATTCAGTTAACTAAAAATTGCGGGTTACTCACGTGAATATACGAAGAACCCCTCTGTGGTTCGAAACTGAGTGTGAGTACCCGCGATTTTTGATTAAAATTAAGTCCCACGATAGTTATTAAAAAAACATCAATTCAGTTATTTAATAACGTGTTAAGTATGATGAATGTTCTAAGTAACACTAACCTTAGGTCGTCCGGAGTCAGCTAACAGCAGGGTACGAATGAAGTCCATACTGTTTCTCTAAACAATACACAAGAGCCTCATTAGTTCGTCATTGACAAGTTTGTTGGTGATTTTTGTTTGTTTGCGGATCTCGATATTTCCGACTCGATCCCACAAAGAAACAATCTTTGGTATACATAGAATTAATTTTTTCTTTGGTATAACAGAACTGGTGTTTTTTTTATATCATTTTCCGACGTTTGACTGCTATCTCGCCTGGTAATGAACGATGAGGTGGTCTACGATGGAGCACGCCGTCCCATAAGCAACCTATTCACTCGGACCTTGAAGACACCCAGGTTATAACACTTCAGGAAATACAGACTCTAGCAAAGAATTCCACTCCTTAGCAGTATGCACAAGGAACAAACTTTACTTTTACATTTATTAATCACTTTAATAAAATGTGTAATGAAAAAAGGCAATAAATGTTTTCAACTTACTTCATCAGGTAAACTTTCTCCGTAGCTCCGCATGTATTCTGTAAACAAATTGTTGGAATTATTTTCAACTAGGTATGTCTAATATGTAAATGATTTTATTGTTGACGAACCCTGAGATTCGATTTTCAATATTATTTTCAATTACAGATATTCAGCTGTAAATGCAGCGTAAACCAGTCAAACCTAATTCTGAAACACTATTCTACAGATCATGCGAATATTTATTACGTGGAAAACTAAATTTGTATAAACTATATAAGTTTGTCTTGAGGTCGGTTTATTAATATAATAAAACCGTATCCTACGTGTAACAAAACTTTTCTGAAAACCGCATGAAAATCGGTTCAGCCAATCGGGAGATAATCACGCGCAAACAAAAAAAAAAACATACATACAGGTCAAACTGAGGACCTTCTTCTTTCATTGAATTCGATTAATAAAAGGCGTTAACGTTATACTAACCATTCAAAAAGTTTTTAATATCTTCTGGGACCTGCGGGGGCTGCGGATCATTGCTAGTGGGTACTGTGACCTGTTCGAAGTCTGCGGAGTTCAGCTGAAGGTTGGCGATCGGAGACATGGGCAGCATCACACTGTGAGGCTCGCTCCACATCGGACTCGATATAGGCGACTGGCTCGTCTCTGAGCCGGGAGCAGAGTACAAAGCACTTGCCAGATCACATTGGTTTGGCGTCGCCGAATCATGCACCTGTTTAAGACAATATCTCTTTAATATTACCCATAGGGCTATATTGCACTGGGACACCATGGCGGTGGAACCAGGCGCGCCACCGTATCTCGTCTGTAAATTATCAAGTCCAAACTAGACACCAGAGTTCATATACCAAACTGCGACGGTATTAAAATAGACCTCTAATCCCGGCGTCCGAACTGCTTACTCTTGAATCCGATTCCGATCGATGGATATTGGTATTGTGAAATGTCGTACTCTTGAGTTGCAACACTAGAACCAATTGCATCCGTATTGCGCAGATATTTAATGAACTAAATGGTATTGACTTTGGCTTTATATTCCGTACCCTGAATGCTATTTTAACAGCTACGATAGCGGTTGTATATTTTTGAGATTGAATAATTATTGAGATTTTATTCGATTGATATTGCATTGACATTGAGGTCGGTTTCAAGAGTATGGTCTCTGGTCCGCCTTCAGATTGGTTGCGCAACCAAGCCGACACCAGGTGAATAACTATCTATAAAGCTGCATGCATTTTGCCGGTGGCGGCGACTGGTTGCGCTACCATGATGTCCCGGTAAAATACAACCCTAACCCGTGGTATACGTACGATCGAACGTAGATCTACACGAGACACAATGTATTTTCTATTGTGTCTCATGTAGATCTACGTTCATACACATATACGCCGGTATGTACTGCCGAGTAGAGGGGTTAATCTTTGCGCGGTTGCAAGAGGTGACTAAAGGACTACATTTAATAGAGATCGGGCAGGTAACTCTTCAAAGTCAAAATCATAGTCAAAATCATTTATTTCAATTAGACCAAGAAGGTACTTATGAACGTCAACTGCGTCCAACCCGCCTGACTAGACTTATACATGTTGTTGTTGATGATTATCTGGCTTATTTATTACTAGCTGGCCCGGCAAACTTCGTACCGCCCATAAATGTTTTTTCTCACCTTATAAACCTTCCCTGGACTCCCACGAACATTTCAATACCAAAATTAGCCAAATCGGTTCAGCCGTTCTTGAGTTTTAGCGAGACTAACGAACGGAATTTGATTTTTATTTATATAGATATCTACTTGTTTTCTGTGGGTGGTTTCGAATATTGCTCACCATACGAATATTGATATAATCACGGAATATAGAATACAATGAAAGTAGCAAGTAGGCGTGGCACGCGTGCCACAACTAAGCAGTGTACTGCTTACTCGAGGCAAATTCGAGTTCAGTCTCGTTCGAACATCGCGTCGAGTTGCTAGTCTCGTGACAAATACATATTTCCTCAACTATGCCGTTTTGTTCCGTTTTGGCGTGTAAAAATGATAGCAGCCGAAAAATCGTAAAAATGGAGGTGTTTCGTATCATCGGTAAGTACAATTTTCATTGTTTTCTTGTAGAAATCTTATTTTATTTCAATTTACTAAAACGGTTAGTCAAAATCAACCTTACGCCTTCAAGATAAAGTTTATTTTGGATTTATTCCATTCAATAGAACATTCTCGCCAGTTCTACGCTACTCAAATAGTGATGTAGTCAAATCACATATTGAATTTATCGATTGATATCGATGCAAGTGTAATGTAACATTTATTTAGATTACTTTTTTATTATTATTTTAGTGGTGATCCCGGCGTGATTGGAAGCAACCTTCACTTCACGGAGCAGATCAGCACCGTCATCCTTATCGCCATCCCTCTCATTTATCACATTATACATATAAAGTTTGTAAAAAATTATGTAATAGTTGTTACTTATATTGCCTATGTGAAATAAAAAAAAATGTTTTTTTGAAAAAAGAAACTAATAAAAAATACGAACAAAATGGTTTTTTATTTACATGTAAATAAATACTTACCCTTTTTTGTTACGTTTAAAAAGTTATCAACGACATATTAATTTTATTATTTTAATACTGTCACACTATCGCAGACAATTTTTTTTTTTCATATTATTTTTAAAACACATTTTCATATATCGATATTATTTTTATCGAATTAGGCTACATCACTATCTGAGTGGAGACCCGCATTCGAGCCAGTGATAAGCCATTCAAATATCACCTTTATTCTTACGACATTAAAGTTTAAACCAAGTACCACTTTTCGTCGCTAGATGGCATTGTTAAACGCAATCTAGCGACGAATGGCGGTACTTGGTAGTCCAAAATATACTTTTTTATTTTGATTTATAGTGCATTGATTTTAAAGTTGCATATCATATAATATTTTTTTTGCATTTCGTTTACGCCCATTTTTTTTTCTAACCAATCGTAACTTCCGGTTTATAGTATGAGTAAATTATAAATGTATTAGTTTGGCGACACCGGTTCTGGCAGAAATATTGTTTCAAGCTACTTCCATTGTATTCTATATTCCGTGGATATAATAATTACATTTAATAACTATATTAACATATACTGAAAAGTAAGTTATTGAATGTGAAAGATTTTTGCTGATCGGTTCAGTACCTTCAGAGTATTTCAGTGCTAACAAACATTCAAATGTTTACAATACTATATACTGGAATATAACTGACACTGACCTGGGGTAGAACATACATCGACGGTGGCACAGGTGGCTCGCGGTCCATAGGAACTTCTTCTGGTTGCTATAATCCAAAATAAAATAATTATATTATTAATATAGATCTAAATAGTTATGTACTACCCGCATTGCACAGTTAATCGGTATGCAACTGCACAATTAGCATAATTCTATTCGAATTCTACGCATATCTATTAGAAAAATTGCTGTTCTTGCTGTAATTCTTTTGGGCTCGCTGCCATTGCAGCGGTAAGTCTCCTCTTTGAGGATTGGCTTGAGAGACGCTACGGCGTCCTCACCTACTGGCTAACGCAGGTCCTCATCGGACATGGGAGCTTCAGGAGTTACCTCTGATATGGAGGGAGGAAATGCCCGGGTGCAATCACTGCAAGGACCGCCCTGTGCACAAAGTGGAACACACGGTAGGGGAATGCCCTGCTTGGGCTGAGTACCATCGTGCCTTCAGGGATGTGATCAGCGTCGGCGACCTCTCGCGTCCGGCCCTAGTCCGGAACATGATTGGAAGCGAGGAGGGCTGGAATGCCGTCTCCTACTTTTGTGAAGTAGTCATTCTAGGTAAGGAGGAGGCAAGGCGCGTGAGGCAGCGAAGAGCTGCCTCCTCATAACCCAGCCGTCGCGAAGGACACTCCGGACGTCGGGTATCGCGGGACGATCTTTGATGCCGGGGCTCCGGCTCGAAGGGCAGGAGTAGGAACGGGGTGGTTTTTAGTCAGTAAGAGTCTGACACTCCCTCCCGCCTCCCCCAGGCGGGAGAAGACAGTCGATGATTTTCCCCCCCATAAAAAAGCTGTAATTCTTTATAATACTAGCTTTTGGCAACGGCCTTGGTTGCGTTCCCGTATGATAAAAGATGGACAATAGCCCATGTATCTTCGGCCTTTTTGCCGTGATTGAGTATCAGACATACAGAGAAACTCATTCACAAACTTTCGCATTAATAATATCAATTTCTTTAACACTGTAACTTCGGTAATATTCAGTATTGTAACTTCGGATTCACAAAAGTCAAACAGTACTCTAATTCAAGAAATTATTAGAATCGTGACTGACATTCTTATGAGGTCAACGCTATTCCGAAGTTCCTCTATTAATAGGCTCGCTATATTTATTTAACATATCAAACAATAACCTTACTGTTACAAGTACTAAAATAAAAACAACTGAAGTACGTTGAATACATAAATCAAATAATTAGAGGTCCGTACTTAAAAAAAATAGAGACCTCTTTGTCATCTGTCCGTCGTGTTTCACGATTTCTTGCAACACAAGTGGGACGAAATGGTCGAGAATGCATTTAAGTGCAAAAGAAAAAAACTTACATGATTGACAACAGATATGGGAATGTCACAACCACTTTTCAACGATCCACCTGAAAAAAAAGGTCTCATAAATTTGCTGTATAAAAAAACTCAAGATGTTGCATGAAGTGGTTTTCGAGCTTGTCTATAGTTGACTAACAGCCCTTTCCATTCGTACGGATATTAATTCTAACTTCGTCAGTTATACTGTTTTGTTAGTGGTCCACCACCATCTCGAGAAGGCTGCATCTCAACAAGTATTCCAAAATTTTCTCTTATAGGAAAAAAATACAAAAGGTCGCCAATCCGTCTTTTTTTTTTTTTTTTTTAAACGTTGCCCCACACTAGGATTATCTCCTGTGTCGTGGGTGCGTTTACAAACATACAAGTTCACATACACAGTGACACCCAGACCCGAAACAACAATCTGTGGATCACACAAAGTGTTGTTCCGTGCGGGAATCGAACCCGCGACACGTTGCACGGCAGCCGGTTGCCCAGCCACCGCACCAACCGTGCAGTCAAAGTCTTGAGCAAGCCTACGTGATTACTGCTAACCTTCTGCGTTCGAAATGAGGCTTTTGCTCAGCAGATGAAGAATAGAAGCTGGTACACACGGCTACACATTTATTTATTTATTTATTCTTTTATGTACACAATTTTATTATGGCCCATAAGGCGAACTTAATGCCATATGGCATTCTCTACCAGTCAACCTTAGGGTTTAAGTAGAAAATCATCGAGTTATACAAAACAGTTTAACGTGGTCTCGCTTTTTTATTACAACCAAAATCAAGTTTCCAATTCACCTTAATATTTAGATCTCAACTAATGCAATTGTACTTAATGCAAACTCAACATCAATGGTCATCTAAAATATTAATGATTTACAAAATGATGAACCTGCACCGCAATATAATCGCAAGTTTCATAAGTGTTACAGTGGTGAGTATATATAAAACTCATGGTGGTATATTGAGAATAGGATGGTAGTTAGTTAACAATTTGTATGAACTTTCCGTAAATTCTACAATCAATTTATATTGGTTCTGCTTAAATTGATGTGTACCCGTGTGTTGTGTACATAAATTAAAATAACTTACTAGATGAGCTGCCAATAGAACAGTAGGAAGACCCAGTCTTCCTCTTCTTGATCTGTTTGTACGCTTGGTTGGCTCTGTACTTGAATTGCTTCGGCTCACTAGTACGGCCATCCGATGGACGAACCAGTTCGATGTACACTTCCACATCGACGGGCGTCTCAGGATTTTTATATGGAGGAGTTCTATTGAAAAAAAAAAGGATTAGTTAATAGTCTAGGGTAGATGTCTAATTTTTATTTTAATATCCGTCTGGTTTAAATCATTAAACACGTATTTTTTTTCTTACAGAAAAGAATACTTTCGACGATATATTGATTTGAAATGTCGCGTGACGTCACTTCTATGTACATTTTATACGTAGAAATGACGTATTAGCCTCCCATTTCTAAACTTTGATTCGTTTTATCTAAATATTGTTTTATTACCTGTACAACAAAATAAAAAAGTACGTGTCTAATATTTTTTAATTACCTAACTTACGAACTAATTAGATTTTTAATTTTCATACCCTGTCATCATCCTAATTCTACAACATTATTAATACTAATATTGGTTTCGTATGTATGTTTGTTAAGTATTATATTCACACAAAAACCACTAGACCGATTTAAAAATTATTTTACGATTAGGTACATCGTTAGGTGCATCGTTGCTTTTTCATATAATATTTGTACGCTGGAAACAACAGAATATTCAGAACATTCATTTATTTGTAACACCTTTGTAACAATATTCTAATAAATAAACGTATTATTATTCGTTTTTCTATACTTAATAGGATGACATTGATGGCCTATTAAAGCAAGAGTACACAATACACATATAAATATGTATTCGCAAGTTTCACTCATTGTTACATCATTTATTACGTTGTATGTAAGCACTAAGCCTAATGTAATAGGGCGGTGTCCATTACCGTTCCATATACTATTTCAAGCTCTCAGGCTCCATGCTATTATTGATAATTCCTAGAATCTAACCTTTGCCTTGATTGATAGTCGTATTCACTACCGACAACGAATATCTTATACTATATATACTATGCTAAATAAAACTGATTGCCTTATTGGCCGAGTGGGCGCAAGTGCGACTGCCGGGCAAGGGGTCTCGGGTTCGATTCCCGGGTCGAGCAAAAGTATTACTGGGTGTTTCAAAAATTCCCAGTAGTTGCACGGAGTCTGGAATTGTGCCCGGTATATGGCAATAGGCTCACCCCCTATTACATGGGACTCATAACATAAATGTGGGTGTTACATTGTACAGTGGCATAATGTATACACCTCTGCCTACCCCTTCGGGGATAAAAGGCGTGATGTTATGTTATGTATAAATAAAACTAAAGATTTTTTGTTTGTTTAAAAGCGCTAAAGTCAGGAACTACTAGTCTGATTTGATAAAAAAATATTTGTTTTAGATAGTCAGTTTACGAAAACTAATATAATATTTCAACATAACTCGCTATTCACCGGGCATTTTCCCTATGGTCGCTCGTGCCGAGTGCATGCGCATATCGGCTAATGATGGTCGACCCCAAACTTTGTCGATTGTACGTACGAAAAATAAGACTTAAAAGGTATAGATAATAACATAATGCTAATAAACTATTTCGACTGTTAAATACAATAAAATATTAAAAAATAATCACACTTTCATTAATTGATTTTATGACCAACTTAATTTTAGTGCTTTTCCAGTATTTTGTTAAGAAATAAGTATGCTGTTTGACGCTAAAAAATAAAACACAATACACAATCTCGTTCAAAGTTCATAGAAAACAGTCGTTTTTGACAGTTCGAAAAAAGTATAGAACTTGACTCAATTATAAATACTTACCGAAAGACGATTGCGTATTGGTGATGGACATCGCTTTGCACAAATCGCCCAACGTTGGTCCAACCTCGTTCTCCATTTTCATCCAATTCGAAGAATCGAATCATTATGTTTTCTATGAAAAAATATACAATATTATAATCAATAATTTATCACTTCCCTTTAGAGGTATAATCAACCATTGCGCAATGACTATGAATAAAACACATACATAAATACTAGAAGTTTGTGAAAAGGTTAGGTACATAAAAAGATGTAAAGACAATTAACTTTTGAGAATATGATTTCATTTCTATTATAGCCTGAAAATCGAATGTGGCTTCTTTAACTAAGTGGAAAATAGTCACGAAGGCCTTCAGTCTACGAAGCGGACTGTCAAACTACTAATGATAAAATAATTCTTTCATAAACTACGGGTAAACAAACCGACTTGAACGCCCCCCCCCCCCTCTTTGAAGTCAGTTAATTAAATCAAAACCTTCTCCTGTGTAACAAACAGTTTTCAAATTCGGTTCAGCTAATAGCGAGATAATCGCGCACAAACATACATACATAGGTACAGGTCAAACTGCGAACCTCATTTTTTTAAGTCGGAAGGAATCTGGAATACGGTTTAAAAATATGCTAAAAATTTGATAATAACAACAAGAGACAATACCTACGACAAAACGAATTTTAAAGACATAGCAACATCTTTAAACATATCAAAATACAGCTTAATAAACGAGCGACGCATTACTATATTATATACATATACGCAGACTTAGATAAGACCACTATGACGACATCCGTTGTACAGTGATATACATTGAATGTTTACAACTTTACACCAACGACCATTGGGTTTTCCCAAACAATTGTATAATACATATATTACGAGGGCAAAATAATGAATCTCATACTTAGATAGCACATTATTAATACCTACATTATTCACTGATCATGGCCAGAGAGCAAAGTTTATAATTTAATATAAATGTTCTAACGTCGTTCGCCAATAATGTTTTGACTTCCTTGAAATATAAAATAGGACACTAAAGAAATTATTTAACTATTTATCTACTACACAACAAACGTCTTCTTTTAAAGGACAAAATAAGGAGCTAAGTATTTATTTATTTCAAACTGTGAGTTAGAACCGGTTGTTATAAGGAAATCTATGACAATCAATAAAGTTATTCATTGAATTTTAAGTCTAACTAAGATTTACCAAAGACCTATACCATATTAAGGTTACCAAATTACCTATCACAGATCAGATATATCTGTTTAACATTGCCTAAGAATGTAATATGGAACTGTAATTTTAATCAATGATTTCTACTGAAAACTGTTTTACTTACTCTTATTAACTTTTTCCACAAGTATGAAGACATCTTCTCCGCCGGAAGCAATTCCCGACGACCGACTTATACGGCAGATTTTTAAATCGTTAGTCGCAGCACTCTCTGTAAAAATATAATGTTTCAGTACCTCTATAGTGATTATTAGTTGTTCAGACTTAATAATCACAGTAGTAATATCTAGCCAGGTAGGGTAAGGTAAAGGGTAAGGCATTAGTAGATTTTCAATTACGATTTCTTCATTTCAATTTTCAATGCATACACTTATGTAGTTTTTAAAATCCCATGAGAAAAATTTACGTTAGTTAATTCAAAGCATAAGGACATAAACATTATCGACAGTTTAAAAAGAATTATTCATTTTACTTTAATCCATTTGGAAATATCTCTAATTGCGGTAAAGCAAGACAAACTTATAGTATCTACAAGCAAATGTGCAAATGCACCCAGCAAACCACTTACATGATACACATTTTAGATGCCTAATATTCATTATCTGTTGCGGTTTAAATTACATATAGTTAGGTAAGTATCTATAGGTGAATTTTGTTTACTTATCAATATAAAAATATGCGTCACTTCAATGCTGATATATATCTAAAAGGGGAAGTCCTTGTGATATGGTTTCAAATAAAACATGCATACCTATCTATTTTACCAAATAAAGGCGGGGTCATATTTATATCCGCCTTAAATAATATACAAACAAAATACTCACTCATATTATGAATAGGTTCAGAAAAAACAGGTTCACATATTTCTTGGCCGGTAACTACGTCATGAGCACTGAATTTCAATCGAACGATGTTTAAGTTTATAGTCCTGGCCATACTCTCGCATTGCACTTGAAGCTAAAAAAAAGAAAAAAAAACGTAGGTACATACCGCATTCTTTGCAGAAGAACATAATTTCTATAATAGGTACACGATTTAAATTTTCACTTCACAGGTTTTTAATTTTAATACATAATAACTTTATTTAGTCTCTTTTTTAAAATAGTCTTAGTAATATGTGTTCAAAAATACAATCTGTGCGAGTAGTCACGTTCACTCCACAAATATAACTGCTGTGCGTTCATTATTATTCAGTGGTAGGGGTAGAGCCGAATTCCCGAAAATATTTAAGTATATCTCTTGGAACTGCTTGACATAAGACTCCTTGGTCTATCTTTAACTACATAATATCTACGAACTTAAGACTCAAGTGGCTTCACTTTTTCCTAATATCAATTTCCTAATACTCCCTATTACAGCAGGCAATACCGACTCACAATTTGAGAGATAGCAATATTTATTGGTAAAAATTTATTGTATTGTTAATTTGTAAGTAATTAATTAACTTATTTATCCCCAATATGATTCATGATATACCTATTATTTATTACAATACCCTTTGCCTATGATGTACCTACCTGCAGGGAAGCAATTTGACAAGACAAGAAATACATTATTTATTGAAAAATACGAATACTTAAACGTAACTAATAATTACATCACGCTTGGCATAGTGGATTTGCAACCGAGCGACTACTGCACAACGTGTCAGAGATTTTGATTCCCGAGGCCCGAGCTTAGCTTTTGGTGTGATTACAAAATATTGCTGTTTTGGGACTGGTTGTGAATTCGCAATCCATAATTTTATTATGTTAACGTATCCACGAATAAACCATAGTGAAGGGTAGGACCACGGTAATAGAAACAAAATAAATAACGTTTATAAAACAAAGGTCCCATTTCAAAGCTTGGTCCCGAGATTTGAAAACAATGCGCTATTACAACCAAACACACACATCCGTTATAGATTGACTTCCCAAAACATTTGCAAGTTTGCATACTAAACATAAACATGTGTAAAAATACTTGAATATTCCTACTTTTTATAAATAATAGAGTATATGCGTCACCTCATAAAGGGCTAATAAATAGTGAGAAAGTAATGGCAAACTAAGAGTGTACTTACGTCTTTTAAGCTCATATTGGTATTCTTGCATTGTTGAGAGTATTTCTTGAATAAAAGAGCAGCGACATCTTTTTTCGCAGTGTGTATGATACCGATACCACCGAACCTGGTAGAATTAAATTGATAATCAATTATGACGTCATGGCCGGATTGGTTGGAGAAGATAAGGGTAGTCGGTTAGAACTACTACAGCGCGACCTAGACGTGGTTGTAAAGGCGTCCAAAACCAAACTTGGGTGCAAATTCTTATTTATTTTGGGCTCGGATGTTTTGGCGCTTAATCTGTCCCTAGGCAGTGTCCCTGTAATTATGAGCACCCGATTTTCTTTGTAGCTATGTAGTAAAGGTGTTTGATACATTCTTTAAACCTCTATCCATTCTTTCTAAGCACAAAACACGGTAGAATACGAAATTCCATAGTGAAAAACATGTTAAAAAATATGTTACCTGACTTTATAGCTCCCCTGATCAGGTACTAGGCAACTCATATCTCTGTCCTGTTCATCTTCAAGTAATTTGTGAGGATGTTCCTCTGTGTTGTTGTGTTGAGCTAATCGACATCTTATAAGAGCTTTTCCAGTGTAGTTCAATAGCTGTAAAAAAGAAAAAAATTAGACAAGGCTTAGGGACTCTTGCCATATTGATATGTTAGATGAATACAACATGACATGACAAAACATCATAATACATTTTATAACGCATAGCAGGGCTTTTTAAGGGGGTTTCCATAAATTACATGGGATGTTTAAGGGAGGGGGGAGGGGTAGACTCAAAACTCATCTAATCTTTGTTAGAGAGAGGCAAATATCACGTAATATTTTTTCTGATTGAAACAAAAAAAAATTATACTATTTTAGACCATTTAATCCAGACTGTATATGCTTCAGATTTAATTGTACGGTTTAGTTTCCTAAAAGTGGGTCCTGAGTTTTGTAACTTGTAGTCAGTCCAATTTGTAACTTTGGATTAAAGATGGATTAAAGTTAGGAAGTGGGAACACTCTCACTAGGTATTGAAGCATTTACCTATAATTTTTTGCCACATCATGGATAATGTTTTACAATAGGTAACTATGAATGGATTATCTATTTATGTATATTGCTGTTAATTACTTACAATGTTTTCTTTAGAAAGTACATATTTCTATATTATACTGTCCATTTTCCAATAAGCACTTATAAATTGAAAGTAAGTATACATATATTGTTAGCGATATCAATTATATCAATTGATAGACAAAGACAAAAGTTGATTGATGATAGGCTGACGTAGAAGTTGCCCTAGACTACTACTATGAGTGAATGTGCATGTGTAAAGTTCTATGACATTACACTTTCATATGAATAGAGAAATCCCTGATTGGGTATGTGTTGTATGTGCCTTTTGAGTAGACACCCTTATCCAATGATGAAGAGTGTTTACTGTTGAACAGAAATGACTTGGCTAGAGCCATATTTTAAATGAAATTTAACTGCTAGCTTGACTAATGGCATATAAGATTTTGAAAACCCCATACCATACACAAACTGTACAAAACAGATTATTAAGTGAAACGTAAAATTAATTCTGCTGCTACCTTGAATCCACATGTATTCAAGGTTGAAAACTCACACTACTCAAAATATCTGTGAGTAAAAAACTTCCTGATAATGAATCACAGGTAAACCGTTTCTTAAGCATGACAGGCAGTAACAGGAAAAATGTAATAAAATATATTACCTCCACCGTAGGATGAGTCTTTGTTTTGTTGGTGCCATAAGACTTCCCCAGTAGACATCCATGAGTTCCCACCATCTCGCTCACATATCGAAACCTGAAGTGGTTCTGTGGTTGTTCCGTGATACGCAGACATGGTTTGTTGGCTGCAAACAATAAATATTGATAAAAAGTAATAAATACATAAATAATTATTAAGCTATTTCTATAATTGCAGAAATTCCATATTTTATTCAATACTAGTGACCCGCCCCGGCTTCGCACGGGTGCAATATGCATGTATTATACATACAAACCTTCCTTAAGAATCACTCTATCTATTAAAAAAAACCGCATCAAAATCCGTTGCGTAGTTTTAAAGATCTAAGCATACATACGGACATACAGCGAAAGCGACTTTGTTTTATACTATGTATTGATTTAGGAGTAAAATAATTGACACATCTTATTGTTGTTGCCTAACTAGGTATAAAGTCTTTATATTATGGTTATATTAGCAGGGCCTAGACTGGCCACATTATTTTTGAAATGTGATAAAACTATATAGGTGCATCCCATAATTTAAACTATGAGTCATCCAATTTGAAGTGATGTAAGATTATAATTATCACATCTCTATATTTTATTTTGTTTTATATTTGTTTCAAGTCGACAATTAAGTTTTTCTGTTAAGGTACTTTATTATTATTTTTACTGACAAAATGTTTCTAGGTCATCAAGTTGCAGCTTGCAAGCTTATCAATAATGTTATCAGCAATATATAAAGAACTTTTTGATAAATGAATTAGCAGAATGTCTAACAATTACTAGTTACCTATTGAGATACACAAAGATTGTCATAATTTTTGTGTTCATGATAAGTTTACAAATTGTACCATCAGGGAGGCAAGGTGTCGTGGTAGGGTGTGTAGAGGCTTTCACATAATACCTATGTAAGTATAAGTTATAGGACCACAGCCACGCAGAAAACTAGAGCGATAAAAAACGCTTACATAATGTTTTGCCTAATGGAATAGAATAGCATAGAAAGTTATTTATTACCCAAGTTCATATGTAACAATAATGTCCACAGGTTAATGGTGAGTTCGACCTGTGGTTGTGTCTACCAACATATGTTTGTCTGAAAGAGATCTTTATAAGTGTTGCATAGTGTGTGGTGCAAGTTTGTTAGTTTGTGGATATAGGTATAATTTATATAAATTAAATGTGTAGTTCTATATTGCCATATTGTTTTGCCATGCAAGTGACAGAATGTTCTTAGCGACCTCCCCTATCCCAGCACCCTCAATTTTTTTTTTAATTTATTTTATTGATGTGGGGTTCAAAAGAAAATAGGGACTTACATTAAACTGTCAAACACCAAGCGGTCACCGGTGACCGCAACCTATTGTTCTATAATTGTGTCTACAAAACCGGTACTCGACGAGTTAAAATTGTTATTTGCATGTCACAAGCATGGTCATCTATTATCCGAACTAAAGTATTATTTTATTTCCTGTTTACAACTCCATTAATAAAAGTGTCATAAACATTATCGCATGTACATCAAAGTATTTATTTTATATTATGTTTCTTAAAAAATAGTTAACTCACTCTTAAACTAATTTTGAACTTTTTCAACTGTTGTAGTAGTGCATTGCATCATCAATGTTTGACTTTTATTTTTCAAATCCATAGTTAATGTTTCTCAATGATCTTGAAAATTATTTCATTTACTTCATAAATAAGGCAAGAATACTAAAACATATCTAACGAAACCACAGACAAAAGATAGGCTGTAAGTACCTAATAACTTTAATAACTTTGGGCCAAATTAATGTTTAAGATTTCAAACTTCTACTTCTTTCTGGTAACATCACGTTTATTACTACTATCACATAGGTACTAATTTGTTATTTTCAACAAATTTAAGTTTAAGGTAAAAATAATCTAGGAGCAATTTTTTCTGTACTTACACTTCTAGGTATTTTAGGTACTTTTTAAATCCTTGCACTTACCATGTCTGAAAAACTGTCTCTTATTGTCCGCACAAGTCAACTCAGTAAGATCAGAAGCGAGTTGAGGCACTTGCTGAGATGGAGAACTGTGCGGAGAATACCGAATGTAAGACATTGGAGAGCTGGCGGAATCGCTCATATCGTGGTCACTGGCGCTCGTAGACATTTTCACTATTGAGTGCACTTAAAATCCACAAACTTTAACGTTTACATATAAAATACAATATTAGCATTAATTCGCACTAAACACAAGATCATTTATTTTTTTTAAATTGTTTTGAAGTAACTTTTTACTCAAACTACACGACGCATTTACTGCAAAATGGCATCGAATGTTTATCAACGTTTGACAGCAGTCAATGTTGCCAAATGGTATATTAAATTGTCCACACTTTGATCTTCCATTTAACTCCAACAAAAGAAGTTATTACTAAATAATGGGCCTGAACCTGATAATTATTTACTCATTCCTAAACTTAAAGAAGTTTTATCACATTTATGCTTGGTTGAAATAAATTATTTTTAAATTATTTCGTCCTTTTTTTTCTATGGAGCCAACTGAGGATACGACATTAATTATGTTCGACATGCCTACAGCTTAGTTTGGAATAACCGAAGTGAGTGATTCAGTCCAATCCAAGTCAATAGTAGTTTCAACTGCCATCGCGAACATCGCGTCTAACTCTGTGCGTTTCTTATCACCATTGATTTATCTTTTCGCTTGTCGTTCGTAAGTTCAGTGACTAATTTATTGTCGTGGATTAATTATAAGTTAAACTATTATCAGGAAAAATGTGTCATTACAATAGTGTAGTTATTCGCGACTATACTTACAAGAATTACATTAAATTATCAATTATGGCACAATTCGATATTTTTTAATTTATTTCCACTAAACCAGGGAAATTTTGTTGAGCTGGTATGACGTACTATTGAAACGTTGACGTTATCAAACCGGGGAAGAACCAAATGAGTGAGTCACAAAAAATCCCCGAGCACTCTTTGTGTACTTATTATTAGAATGTATCAAAGTGTGTATATGTATACGTATATGTTATATATTATGTATGTATGAGCACGTAGTCACTGTGGCTTGTTTTCGTTTTGTTTATTACTTAATACGAGAGATGGCAGTTATTTCCAAGAACTGAGTTTCATTAATATCACAATGCAACTAACTTGATACTGTGTACTGGTGTCTGGTCTATTTATTTACTGCTGAAGAGTTAAGTAGCTTGTTTATGAATGCGCTAATCTCTAGAACTATTATTTTTGTGTTAGATACTCATTACTCCATTTGTCGAGGAAGGCTATAATCCATCATGCTACGATTAATAGGAGCTGAGTAGCGGGCGAAACCACGAGGTAATAGTTAGTAGGTTATAAGTTTATAAAATGGTACTGTACTAGTAGTGACAAATTTCACCAAAGTTGGCGCATATTTAATAAGGATTCTAAAATGGTATACCACTCCCTAAACCATTTCTTAAATTCGACACGAAAAAAAATTTTTAAATATACTCTGTTTTGAACAATTTATTTGATTTGGACTTACTACAATTTCTTCTAGTGTATGGAAAGCGCACGTAAAAACCTAAGTGTTACCTAGTTATCCACTAGGTAACACTTTGCACGCGACATATCGTCATGTTGGTAAACAGAGAGGAGGAGGACCACATCATCTGTCTATTCATGATTCACTCGCAGCATTCGTCGGCAATATAGTTACAAGAGGAACAAATGTTCTGGATCACATCACTTAAGAACAGGGGCGTAGCTAGCGCCGTATCTGCCGTATCAATTATACGGGGCCCCCGGACTACAGGGGCCCCCAACGCGCCTAAGCAAAAATTAATAAAACTTCCCAATTTTTATTCTATTTCAGTAATCACAAAAGTAAAAAAAAACCATTTTCCCGCGTAGAGCATGCGTTCAAAGGATGGCAGAAACTTAAGAAAAATAAAAGTAATTAAGGTCCGCTAATTAGGACAGAGGGAGTTTTTTTTTTCAGGGAGATTTTAGGTTTTCACACTAATTATAAGTATTTTATTTAAAAAATCTCTTATGAGAAATGTTTACCCTTCAAGGGCCCCTAAACAAATTCTTATACGGGGCCCCCCCAATGCACGCTACGCCACTGCTTAAGAACATTAGATGTTGAGATGTGAGAGCCAAAAGACTAGTAGGTACACGGATCACACATTCCCCTATACTTATTATCTTACTTACTCTTTGATCACACATAACTCATTGTAATTTCAAAACTGATATGAAATGGATTTTTTTATATTTTTCTGATAACTGCTCAAAATTTGCTGATGCCATTTGATCGTCAACTTTAGGGACAGTCTGTATATTTATATACTTCTGCGTATACTATGTGACAATAGGTTCTATTTTATAATCATAATCATCGATTGATTGCTCCCGCCTGGGTGAGGCAGGAGGGAGTGTCAGACTCTTACTGACTAAAAACCACCCCGTTACTTCACCTGCTCGTCGAGCCGGAGCCCCGGTTACCCGTTAGGTTCTCCGCGACTCCGAATCGGCATCGGCCCTATTGGGCCCCTTCTGTGGTGGTCTGATGGCTCTTTAAGGCGCGCGCGGAACGCGACGCGCCATACGCTCGGGTCTGTTTCTGGTCGGACGGGGAGCCACCCATGCTCGCCGTCCGCAGGCCCGCGCTCACGGTGGCCGGATATCGTCTCGCGATCCCCGACGCCCGGTGTGTCCTTCGCGATGGCTGGGTTGCGAGGAGGCAGCGCTTCGCTGCCTCACGCGTCCCGCCTCCTCCTTAGCTAGCATGACTGCTTCGCAAAAGGAGGAGACGGCATCCAGATCCCCCTCGCTCCACATCATGACCCGCACTAGGCCCGGACGCGAGAGGTCGCCATCGCCGATCACAATAGGTTCTATAGACTCACATATTTAGCAGTACTTAAATATTCTGTCTTTAAATATTCTCTGGTTAGAGACGAATTATTGCAGTTTAGAGTCAAGTTTAAATGGTCAAGTAAATAAAACTGAAGCCCAAGTGATATTAAAGATAAACACATTTATTCTAAAAATACAACATTTTCAATATATTTTAGCAAACAACGAACAGGAATAAAAATGCTTTTTTTAATATGGAATGATTTCATCACTCTTTTGTATCTTTACATTTATTTTAACCAAGGGTGTAACCTAAGCCGATACATTGATAAGATATTTAACAAATAATAATCTTAATCTTACAGCAATTTAAACCTTAGATCTAATTTGTAAATGTATAAATGTTATCAAATCTTAACAACAACATGATTTTGTTCACAATTAACAAATGTAAAAAAGTGTATGAGCAACTCATTTTTAAATAGTATATTTTTGTATGTATGGTGACAAATGATCAGTATCATCACATTCGAGATAATAATTTATTTGAATTTTATACCATTATTATTTTATAGAAATGGATGGAGATTGTACCTCCCAAAGCAGTTATCGATAATGTCACTTATTGCTGAAGGCATAGGTATAAAACCGTTTCAACTGTTATGGTCATGCCTAATGTTTCAAACGTCGACATCATCTACACTTACAGCAATTCCTAAGTCACCTGCGAAGCGCGAGAATAATCCTCACCATTGTAGACCTTATTCAATAGTGGACATATTACAGCTGACGACGATGTACGTTCCATCGACATTTGTGAACCCTATTAGTACCTCTATCATGATTTTAGAGCAATATTATATTATATTATACCCAATAATGGTGACGTAAATGCATGTCAAATTTTAGTTCTATAAGCGAACGCTAGAGGGCTGTGGTGTAAAAGAAATACTACAGTTTTAAATTCATGTTTATAGGTACAGAATTCAGTTTTATACCAGCCTCAAATGTTTAATCGTAATCTCTATTAATGGTGGAAGAGCCTGAGGTTGGTGTGTGCAAGCACAATTTTGTGCTCATTGCAAGCTTCAATCACTTCTTGGTCGTTGTTCGAGCCTGATGGACTGCCAATGTATTCGACTCCACACTGTAATAGAAATTTAATTAAGTACATTACAAAAATAAAATCTTGTTAAAACACCTTGACTTAAACATTTGGAAAATAGTGAGCCTTGTTTTCTATCTTCGAACATATTAATGTTATCAGTCAATAAATGTGAAACATTTGTTACTGTATGCATACTGTCAGAACGGTAAAATGAATATATGTATAAATAAGATAATAATACAGTCTGTATATCTACAGAATAACAAAGAAGTTGTTTTCTTCCCCAATATTCCGCTGTCATGGGATAATTTTCAAGAAGCATGTGAACAAAGTCTCTAGATGACGTTAGTGTTAGATAAACTCTTTGCTACTGACCTGCACAGCTCTGTCGATGTTGTCACGGAATGGGAAGAAAGCATCCGAAGCTAGAGCCACGCGGTCCATTTTGCTGACCCATTCAGTGCGTTCCTGCTCAGTCAGTAAAGCAGGAGCTTGCCCATCGAATAAGGTGTTCCATTGCTCCAAAGGAAGATCTGAACCTGAATTAATTAAAATCATATTATTATCATCCTTTATCCATTTTATTCTCATCACAGAATCAGAACAACAATTTGTGATCCACACAAATTGCTAATCGTGTAGGAAAAGTACAGGCAGCTTATCAGTTAATCAGTCACACAATTATTGTTATTATACAACTAGGATTTCCTATATAATTATATAAACGTAAAAGTATGATTGTAAGGATGCATGTATTACTTTGTATGTTTGTTGTTCTCTCATGCAAATAATGCCGAATAGAGTTGAGCGAGACTGGCGCAGAGATAAATAATAGTATTGGATAACAGATAGCACATCAGGGACCTTTAGCTGGCGAAAGCGGGTGAAGCCGCTGGCAGAAGATATAGGTATATAATACATATAGATATATACTAACCAATAGTGCCATTAACGTAGTTGTCGATAGCATTAGATTGCACGGCGCGGGTGACGCCTTGCTTGAACTTCATGGCGAGCACTCGAGGGTGTCGCCTCATCCACCACAGCGCCGCCTTGCCTCCCGCCAGCCGAGTGCAGTGGATGCGAGACTGTTGTCCTGCACCAATACCTACAACCTGAAATATAAATAATAACTTAATCGCCAGCCTGAAAGATTTACTTTCGTAAAGAGCTTTTTGTAAGTATTGTTGAGTCCACTAAGAGACTATATACATAACAGAGACTGATGTCCAAATACTCAAATGTCACTCAATTTAAAGTCGTGCTAAAGTATAGTTCTGTCACTACCGAGTCTTTGTAAAATGACAGAGATGGCACGATATTTAAGTACTACTTAAAATTGAGTAGCCTTTCAGTATTCGGGAGTGAGAAGCTGAATTTTGATAATCGCAAACCATTTAAAATGTGGCAAACCACCAAATGCAGAGTACATAGTTATGAGTGATTTGGTAGTTATAATGTAACGAAAAGTTAGTAGATACTTCATTATTCTTACCTGTCCATCTCTAGCGTAGCAGACAGAATTACTCTGGGTGTATTTCAAAGCAATAGTAGCTACAATAAGATCTCTGACAGCATTCTCGGGTAGTACATTGTTCTTAGTGACGACATTCTTGAACAAGTCCCCTGTAATCTTAGCATCGTTGCGTTTTTGTTCTAAAGTGAGACCGAAGATAGTCTTCTGTTCCATAAGGTCTGGCTCGTAACTAGGGTCCATCTGGAAACAAAAATTTTGTTTTTAATGTGAAACTTTTGATGAAGGGTTAGACAAAACTAACCACAGACTACAGTAATTTTTTTACACATTTAGATGGTTTGATTACAGACCATGCAATACAAGTATAAGACAATTCACCTGCAAAACGCAGTAGCTACCACCCTTCTTCTTTTTAAGTATTTCTAAAGCTTCGGGGGTGTATCCAGGTGCGACGATTCCGTCTGAGACCTCTCGTGAGATGATACGGGCGGTGATGGCGTCGCATTCGTCAGATATGGCTACGAAGTCACCGAATGAACTCATGCGGTCTGCGCCACGCGCGCGAGCGTACGCGCTCGCCACAGGCGTCAGGTTCGGGAGAAGATCAGCCACCATACATACAGACGCCTGAAAACATATTGATTGTAGATTTTATTTTATAACAAGCTTTTGAGCATGTTCTCTCACTTTTATGCGAAAGTAATAAGGACCATTTTGTTCTATCACAAATTTCTTGCGCAACGTTATTGTTTCCAATCAGTGGACTGTTAAGGGCTGTTGATTATTGAATTTAAAGTATAGGTAAATTCACCTCTTCTTGAGTCAAAGGCAATCCAACAGCGGCGCCAGCGGGCGATACATGTTTGAAGCTGGTGGCTGCGGGCAAGCCGAGGGCTTCCTTCAATTCCTTCACCAACTGCCACGCGTTCAGTGCATCACACAAGTTGATGAAGCCAGGAGAACCGTTCAGAGTTGTTAGAGGCAGTTTGTCGCGGGTCGTGAACACTTGAGCTGGTTTCTGATGTGGGTTCATACCTGGGTAGGATTGAGAATTTGACATATAACGTGTATATTTTATTTGCACTTCAAGGCATAACTGCACATAATAAATGTTTCTGATACTACACTATACTACTGAAAAACTTTCGGGTAATCAAACTACATAAAAATACTTTGTCTGACCCGGGAATCAAACCCGAGAACTCTTGCTCAGCAGTATCGCAGGCAATTTAACTCTGTATAATAAAATTTCAAATTAATTTACTTTTTGATATCGGAGAGTAATAATAAAGGTGGTAATTAAATAGTCAGTAAGTTATCAGCTAAAATATTATTTTCTTACCATATCTCAAGGTCAGTTGTGACTGTCCTGCAGAATACTGTCTGCGGAAATAGTCTGTGATAGCGAGATCATATTCCGATGTATGTGTGAAAGCCTTAAGAGCAAGTCGCTTCCTATGAACGGAAAAACATTAAATGTATGTTAGTTTTATCATTAAATATTTAATACAGTACACAGGTAGTGCAAATATCATATCGCTTCCAACTGGCGAATACACACCAGTGGTCATTGGGGACATATGTTCAGCATAGAATGTTCAATATTTTTCTGAAAGGGCAAAAGACGGTAACATAACATCACGCCTTTTATCCCCGAAGGAGTAGGCAGAGGTGCACATTACGGCACTTAATGTCACTATACAACGTAACACCCACTTTTCACTATTCATGTTATGAGTCTCATGTAATAAGGGGTGAGCCTATTGCCGTATACCGGGCACATTTCCGGACTCCGTGCTACTACTGAGGTTTTTACAAACCCAGTAAAACTTTCCCCGACTCGGGAATCGAACCCGAGACCCCTTGCAGTCGCACTTGCGACCACCCAACCAATGAGGCAGTCATTTTTATGAAACTAAATTAATCTGTTATATAGATATAAACTAAATAATAAATAAGTAGCGCTAAAATAAATAAAAACTTAAGTATTTATAACTACAATTAACATAAGAAATAAAGAAAAATAGGATAGAGGAAAAATATACAATATACATATTATCTTCTTATACAAAAAATAGCAGATAGTTAGTAAATGTTTACCTGGTACTTTCCCTGATTACAAGTAAGACCTGATAATAACATATAGTATAAAATAATTTTATTTTATATACAGAATGTACCAAAATGTTACGATTGTTGAGCAATACTATTTTTTCTTTGCACTGATAACTTGAATATTTTCAGAATAATGCTAGGCTTTTCACAGACAACAAAAATGTTTACGCAGTTTTTTTAAACAAGAACCTTATTGTATACTATTGTTGTTTTGAAGGATATTGAAGTTTAAAGTTGCGGTTTCTTGGAATTCGAAAGGAAAAAAAAACTCATGTTGTATGAAGGCCTATCGCCCCTGGTCTTTATTGTCTAGCTTTGGAACACCTTTTATAATGATAGGAAACTAATAAGCCCTTGTTAGCTACAATATCAGTCAAACGATAAACATCTAATCGCATGTGTAAGTAGGTAGACAGAAGGAGCGGATAGTATACACATAAAGATAATAATAATAACTGGGCACAACCGGTTTTTTGCAGTTATTATTTTGAATAGTCAAAGTCTCCAATAAAAAAAAGTCGGTTGCCGATAATTATTCTATCAATGTCAAGACGATTACTACCTACTAATGACTTTATGATCACTCGACTACAATATAATGATGGGTTTTCATAAACCTTTATAAAATTAGGTTAAGATTGAATCAAACAAATATCTTTTCTCTTCACTGGGTACTCGGCACCGACTATCCGGGAATCGCAACGTGTTTAAACGGCTTTATAGTATTTAATCAAAGAGTCACATAAGGTTGACTTACCTAGTATCCAAAGAGGTCTGATGGTCGTTGTTTTGTTTTAATTCTTGCATGACTGCATCATAGTCGTTGGGATCACAGATAATAGTTACTCGGTCATGATTCTTAGCTGCCGCACGGAGTAAGGTCACGCCTCCAATGTCGATGTTCTCAACAGCATCAGCAATAGTAACTCCAGGTTTTGATACAGTTTGAACGAAAGGATATAAGTTGCAGACGACGACGCTTATCATGTCGAAGTTCTGACGTTTCATGTCCTCCTGGTCCGATGGAATAGCCCTGAAAGAATTGTGAATATTGGAGTATATAGATTCGTACATAAATAAGTAGTTTCAATTAGACCAAAAAGCTTAACCTTTAGACAGCATTGTAATCTAACCTAACGATAAAATGTAAAAATAGATTTATTGTCTGATGTCATCCATCCTAATCAGATCTAAGTTATTAAGTAATTTTAATGGAAGGTTGACTATTCATGCGCTTACCTAGACAGAATACCAGCATGGACAGCAGGGTGTAGGGTCTTTACTCGTCCTCCAAGCATTTCGGGGGCCTTGGTAATGTCCGAGACCTCTGTGACGGCGAGGCCAGCATTGCGGATAGCTGTAGCTGTACCACCGCTGGCAACGAGCCCCAACCCAATCTCGGATAAGCATTTTGCTAAAGGTAACAAGCCTGTCTTGTCCGACACGCTTAGAAGAGCTGTGGACAAAGTATTAAACAATTATTAATTGAAGACAAAAACTATTTAAGGCCAAGTCAATTAATTCTCCAGTCGATTGTAATTTATTATCACTTTACTATTCGACCTTAACTGAAGTAGGTAATGAATTTATTGAACTTCTAACAATAAAAGTGATAAAGATTCGGTCGAATAACCAAGTACATAGTCAAAGTTTTTAAAACTTGTAATGTTTAAATTAGTTTAGAATGTAGTTAGGGCCTCCATCCTCGGGAGGTCCCGAAGGAACGACAATATTTACGACAGACACACAACCGCTTCACGTTGCGCGGTAACCGACTCCCGGGTAACACATAGCGGGTTTAATTCCCGGACAGAGCAAATCTTTGTGTGATTCACAAATTGTGGTTTGCGCCTGGGTGTCATGTGTATATGTATTCGTATATTTGTACCTACTTTAAAAAAAAGAAACATTGGAAAAGGGCCCCTCGTGTAATCTAACACGGCCCTGGGCGCAGTGTAAGTGAAATTTGACATTGGTTACCGAATTAACCCACACACAGGAGAAAATACTATAGTTGGGCAGTTTTTTTAAACATGATGATGTGGACCAAAATATGGCAGAAAATTGGTAGCCTTTAATCTTATAACATATTTCAAAACAAATATATTTTATTTTATAAACTTACCTAGTTTTCCATTAGCAGCCATGTTGTGTGCTTCTTATGAATAACTTGATTGTAATGACGAAAATGATAATTGTTCTTAGTGAGCTTATATTAGCTGCGTCCAGTTGACCTTACGCAGGGGTCCTGATAACAACACAATCTTGTTTACCAGAGTTTAGGGTTGTCAATTGAAAGACAAGTTACAATGATAAGTATGTCCTAGACTATGTACAATCTTAAACATTCATTGGAATGACCACCCGATCACTAATGGGGTAGACGACTAATTTTTATTTTAATGTCCGTCTGGTAGATTATTTAAAAATATTAGACTCGTATTTTTTATTTTCTCACGGAAACGAATAGTTTTGAAGATATATTGATTTGAAATGTCGCGTGACGTCACTTCTCAGTACATTTTATACTAAGAAATGACGTTTTACCCCCCACTCCTAAACTTTAACTCGTTTTATCTAAGTATTGTTTTATTATACGACAAAATAAAAAAATACGTGTCTAATATTTTTTTATTACCTAACTTACGGACTAATTATATTTTTAATTTTTATACCCTGTCAACATCCCCATTACCGCATTTGCGCACCCGCGCAATACGGAAGTATTGAGACGGGCCAATGTGGGAGGCATCGAGTCGTACCTCATGTGAAGACAACTTCGCCGGTGTGGCCATGTGGCGCGCATGTCAGAGCAGAGAGTGGCGAAATGCATCCTTTATTCAGAGCTTCAAGAGGGCGAGCGAAAGCATGGCGGAGAACTCTTAAGAATTAAGGTTGTGCATAAGCGACACATGAAGGCGTGGCAACATAGATTCATCTCGGTGGGAAGAGCTTGCATCGAACCGCGGAGCTAAATGCTAAATGTGACGAAATAAAAGCCCAACCACCAGCGGCAATTCACTATAACTATGTTTACGGTGTTCTCACGTGTCCACTCTGTGAAAGAATATTTATAAACAAAGGTGGATTTTCCAGCCACATGAGAGCCTATGATAGAGGCCAGTAGTCATGAAACGGTCGCCGTAGCCGAAACCGGCATGGAGGATTAGAGATGTCCAAGAGGACTAGAAAATTGAAAAAATGTTGTAAAGAATAGGTACTTAATCAATTTTGGATTAAATTGTAAAATGGATTTTTCTTATAGAAGTTGCTCATCTAATAATTTCTTATTATAGTCAGAATTTTAATTAGATTCCAGATTTGACAATAGCTACTGTCATTTTGTGAAATAATGATACCACATATAATAGTGTAGTGATGAACACAAAAATCGATAAACAATCAGTGTGTGTGTTTTATAATAAATGTTACAGAAAGTGACAGGATAGCGATAGCGATGACGGCGACAATTTATAAAATAACTTGTTAGCATAATACATCTATCTGTTTTATTTGTCATGTTCCTTCATGATTACATTTTTTTATTTATTTCACATACAATTATAAAAGAAAAGTCTCAGATTGTTAATTATTCGTCAAAACTAAATTATCGGCTCAGAAATATTTAATTTCCTGATATACTTAGTTTACGAGAGTAAAATTATAAACGAGAAGAATCGATACAGAAATATTGCATTTCCATATCGAATAATTTCGTAACGTCACTATTTAGTACTTGTCATAACGTTGCAACACTGAAATTGTCAAATCGGGAATCGAATTAAAATTCCGGGTATAGATATGACGACAAAGCTTTATTGACATTATAATTAAGTTTCCTACATTTTTTTTTTCAACAAAATAATTATTTTTATACTTATAAAGTGAAATAGTCCAAAATGAATGATTTTTCTATATGACAGGTATTAGTTGTTAATGTACAGTCAGCCAAGTAATAAAATAAATAATTGATTTAGTACAGAGACAGTTGCTATGGTTTTTAACTAAACCATATCTTTTGTAGCCAAATAATGATTACTTTTTCTGTACTGAATCTGTATCTGAACCTGAACTAATTCAGTATTACTAACTGAGCTTTACTGTGCAACTGAGCAGACTGTACAATAATCTTATATCTTATACTATTATATAAAGCGAAAGAGTTTCTTTTTTTGTTTGTTTGTTTAAATTATTATTTTTTGTGTTGGGTAGTGCATTTATCGAGGATGGCTATAGGCTATAAAACATCACGCTACGACCAATAGGAGCCGAGCAGAGCGTGTGAAACCGCGCGGAAGTAGCTCGTTATACATAATCCATTTTATCCAATGACTAAATCGTAAAAAATATAATAGAATGTGTAGAATAAGTACAAGAATAAATAAATAATAAAAAATGACAACCCTATTAAAATTGATTACTGTGATGTAAATAACTAGAGTTATTGCTCTTTGATAGTGACAACAGCTGAAAACGAACAAACAAGACTTTCGATGCCACCTACGTAAATGTTCTTACGTACTTACATCAATCATTTATCTTGAAATTATTTTATGAAAACAAAAATATGATAAGTTTGCTTTTTTGTTGTTCAAACTAAGTTGAATAGTCTGAAGTTATTTATATTACGATACAAGGTTTACTCAACTTGAAATAAGTAGATTTTTCATCTTAATTTTTTTTATCTGTTATGAAAAGCTGGAGTTTTTTTACACAAAGTGACCCGGGACGCCCATACGGATTCACCGCACCCGGTAGACCTCGATCTACTGCTATATTGCGGCAGGTCCCAGTCCCACTCCCACCCATACAGCGGACGACTGACTCCCCTAGTCAGTCGACCGCAGATCGGCTACCATCTCGCGGCGTTGACAGCCGGCGCGTCAACGGCGGGAGGGCCACAGAAGCACTTACACAATATTTTTTAATGTTATAGGTGCCATGATAAAATGCAGGTCTATAATATGAAGTTAAGATGTACTATAATAATTAAGAAAATAAACTATACGAAAATAGTAAACGAGTCACTATTTATTTATGAATAGAAAAAGATTGGATGAGTAGATTTTTTTAGGATAACAAACATTATTAACATTAACCTTTTAGTTAGAGCCACTTTTTGCCATTGTTTAATTAAAGTGTGACATTAGGACTTAAACTAATTAGCTACGCAAATTGTTTCAGTGCAAAATATTGGCTATGTGCAAAGCGAGTAGTGGCGGACAGATAACGACCGCAGCGCACAACACAGCAGAAATTGGAAACAAATGCGGATGATCAGCTGTCAAATGCGTTGATTAACAGTACAAAATCAAAGCAAATAGATGGGCCATGACTGTTGTTGCGTTGCTCTGGCCGTTATGTAGCAGTTCTTTCACATTTCTTACATGCTCTGCTAATACTAATTTATTGCCTTTTGTCTCAGTTTGTGGTTGGAAACTAATATTGTGTAGTTTCAAACCCGGTTTTTATTATTATATTTATTTTACAGTAAAACTATTGAATAAATTGCACTTAAATAATGTCAACAATACTATTTTAATCTTTGGTTTTATTTATATTTGCAAAGAAAATTATAATGTTTACATTGTTATTATTTTACAGCTTCCGCAAATGTTGTAGGAACGCTACGCGTCGCCACCATCGCGCACATAGCCAATAGTAAACCGTTCAGTAATTAGTACATTTATTTTTTACCTATTATTTTTTGAATTAAAAATTGTTTTCAGTAACAATTACAAAACTGCATTTTCATTTTTACTTGAGCAATTTAAAAAATATAATATATTGACATGGGTAGTTACTATCTGGAGCTGCAGACAACCTAACAGGTTACTGGGGTTTTGGCTCAAAATAGGAGCAGGCTGGGAGAAGTCATTGGATGATTTCTCCCCAAAAAGAGTACTATACACATCAATAAGTTTCTATACGTTTAGCATTCCCGCCTCACCCAAGCGGGAGCAGTCATACGATGATTTTCCCCGCTTAAAAAAAAAAACTTAGCATACTGCCTAATTTTTTAAGTTAAGTAAGTCAAATTATTTCTTTGTTTGATTTTAGTATTTAGTTCAACTGGATTCAAGGTGATTAATGTGTTTTTATACAGTAACTTAGGTATTGTGTTTAAGTGTAAACTTCTAAACCTAAGGTTGCTGGTCTGTTCGCTACTGGTGTTTGTGCAAAGAGATAACTGAATTTGGATGTTTATGTTCATGAATATATTTTTAATTGACTTGTGAGATTATTAATTATTTGCATGAAGTACTATTGAAATTACATGCCACATCTTATAAGAAATAATGTTATTAAGTTTGTATAATTTTGGCTTGTAAAATTATAGGAAGGTAAAAATATTTAGATTCATTATATCAAGGTATTTTTCCTCATTAAAGTCATACTCGCTTCTGCCAGCGGCTTCGCCTGTGGTATAAACTACAGTTTACACTGAGGCTACAGCCTCAGTGTGGATCCAGATCATAATCTATGCCTTCAGCTGCTTTCACATAATATAGTAACAAACACACAAAAACACACATTCTAATATTAGTATAGAAATACATATATAGACACCAAGGTAAATCTTGAAAGGTTATGTTTCCAAAATCACATGTTGTGTTTAGTAGAATGTAAGTCCAACAATAATTATTCTAATAGGTAGGTACTATTTTAGCGTATTTGTGTATTTTACTAATAAATTGAGAATACTTACCCTGTGCTAAGTTAACTTAAACAGGTTTTCAAAATAATAATCACATTAATCACAAACGACAGGATCTTTCATTCATTCAAAACAAATACATTAAACCATACATATCCGAAATCCGTGTAGGATGTCGGACGATTTTTGAGTTGACAGACGACGTCGACAGGACGAATAACTAAACGAAACCAAAGAATTGTTAGCTGTCATTGTCAGTGTCAAATTTTACGTTTTATTTTATGTCCAGGTCGAGATTTAATCTGATTTGTAAACAACTGTTTATTAACTTGTAATACAATTAGAATGGTAGGTGTCTACGCTGTTAATCGCTTACAAGCGAATCACCTGCTTTATTACCAGGTATTCCTTTTACCCCTATCCTATGGTATTAATATACAAAACAGATTTTGATTTTTTTTTCTTCTATGGCAATGGGACTCCACTATTAATTACTTGACTCTATTCTGCCAGCGTCCATTTTTTACATTTTAATTTTAGATAGATAGGTAATGCTTTGTGGTGCGGTTGACATTTCCGTAGACTCTGGCTGGTAGTTGTCAATAGATTGACAGTGACTGTCAGCGTCAAACTGTCAACTTTGACAAGTGTCCGAAACGCCGAAAGCCCGAAACTCCGAATCTGAAAAGCGTGCGTGTTGTGTTATTTTTTGGTTATGTTGTGATTGAATTGTGTGTATTTTCTGAGAAGAAAATGTCTGAACAAGCTAAACCAGCAGGAAAAAGTTGGCGTGAAATAAATCAAGAAAGAAAGGCTTTGAAGCGTCAACGAAATGAAGAAAAAATTATTAAACGTGAAAAAAGAGTTGCACTAGAACGTGAAGCTGAAACTAAAGTACAAGAAGAGATTGCACGAGAAAAGAAATATGCTGAAATTTCTACTGTTAGTATAGCAATCCCTGGCTCCATACTGGAAAATGCTCAATCTGCTGAGTTGCGTACATATTTAGCTGGTCAAATTGCGAGAGCTGCCTGTGTATTTTGTGTAGACGAAGTTATTGTGTATGATGATGTGGGAGAAAAATTAAACACTAAAAAGTCAAAACTTGGAGATGGTGATGGAGTTGTTGTTGCACGCAAAAGTTGTGTTCAGTTGGCACGCATTTTACAATACCTTGAGTGTCCACAGTATTTACGGAAGCATTTCTTTCCTTTACACAAAGATTTGGAATTTGCTGGGTTGCTTAATCCTCTAGATGCTCCACATCATTTAAGGATGTCAAATGATTTTCAGTTTAGGTAAGTAAGACTAAGAGTGCTTCTATAGTTTCGATTACGAAGAATTTGTTTTTAATAATTATATTCTTATTTACAGGGAGGGCATAACTATGAACAAAAAAACAAAGCCAGGTCGAGGTTCTCAGGTGAATGTTGGATTACTTCAAGATATTTCTACAGATAAGTTATTGAATCCTGGTATCAGAGTTACAGTCAAAATGCTTCCGACTCAAGAAGGTGGCAAAAAGCTGAAAGGAAAAATTGTTAGTCTCACCACCCCAAGAGCTGAAACAGGAGTGTACTGGGGTTATACTGTCAGGATAGCTAATAATCTAAGTCAAGTCTTTACACAAAGCCCTTACAAAGATGGGTAAGAAGAATCATAATTTTACTTTACTAAGATTTTCATGAACAGTCTAAAATAAAATCAATACTAACTACTGTTTTATTTCAGGTATGATTTAACAATTGGAACTTCTGATAAAGGCTCACCCATTGAAGAATTGCCAGATAAAGAGGTTAGATATAACCATGCATTAATAGTCTTCGGAGGTTTACATGGTATTGAAGCCGCTTTGGAAAGTGATGAACAATTAAAAGCTGAAGAAGCTAGTTTGTTGTTCAATCACTATATTAATGTTTTACCTAATCAAGGTTCTAGAACAATCCGGACTGAAGAAGCTGTTCTCATTACTATGGCAGGCCTTAGAAATAAACTGAAGGCTAATAATGAGCCAATGGTTTTCACTGGCACTGGAATCGCCCAGAGTTCATCATTCCCAACCTCTAGACCAGAATTGTCAGATTCTGGTACTGATAACAATCTAGATTTAAGCAGATTTGACTAATAATAATAAAAAAATATTAATAACATTTTGATATTTTATTTCTGTAAAACAGTAGAAAAATATTTTTTTAACCTTTATGTGTAATGGAAGACCTCATTTAAACTTATTTGGAATGTGTTCTAGTTTTTGTTAATAGCTTGTTGAACGGTTTCCCGAAGTGATCTAATAGTTGCTGCCTGATCTGCAGCTCCTATCACAGCTGTTCCAGATACAATCATATTTGCCCCAGCCTGAAATAAAAATAATAATATTTTAATTTGAAGATTTGAGGTCATTTTAGTCTATGTATTTTGTGTTTAAACAGCTGTAATGTCATAACTTGTACTTACATTAGCGCAGCAACTTATCGTTGCTGGTCCTACACCACCATCAACTTCAATATCTAATAGCGGATATTGTCCTCTCAAATATTTTACTTTAGCCATTTGATTCTCCATGAACTTTTGTCCTCCAAAGCCTGGCTCCACTGTCATGACAAGTACCATATCAGACATAGAAATGTACCTTTCAACCTCAGTTACCGGTGTCCCTGGTTTTATAGCAAGACCCACCTAGAAATTAAATACCTACATATTAGGAAGAATGAAATACATAAGTAGGTATTTTTAATTCTGAAATTAATCACTTTTATAAATATTGAAATAGGTAATAAAAAAGCCAATTAGACAAGCAACTTACCTTCATGCCATTTTCCCTTATTTTTCTACAAACTTCTGCAACATTGTCAACTGGTTCAATGTGAAATGTATATTGGTTAACTCCAGCATCTGCCATTGGCACTATCCACTGGAAATATAAGGAGTTTATTGATTTACATAAGGTGTGGTAGAAAATATATTAAAACTGCGAAATACAGCTTTCTGAGAAAGAATGGTAAACATACTAAAATAAACTGACCTGTTCAGGGTTTGAAACCATCATGTGAGTTTCAAAAAATACATCTTTGATTTTGTTGCGTAAGCACTTCACGACAGGGTGGCCCAACGTTAGATTAGGTACAAAGTGACCATCCATTACATCTAAATGTAAATAATCAGCACCATTATCCAAAAGTTTTTGAGATTCTTCATAAAGCCTTGATAAATCTGAATTCAGAATAGAAGGGCCAATCAATGCTTTTAGGCTTCGGCTCATTTTTAATATTATTATTTCTTAAATGAATTAAAAAATTAAACGATCACTTGACTTTATAACTCAACCAAACAAAAAAAATAGAGGTGACACTACGCTAACAGAGGTTATCACTTTGCGCGCCGGTTGTTAAAAATATTACGCTCCGTGTTACGTTAGTTAAACTAATGTAAGAAATGTAATATTTCTTACTTTAGAAACTTACAACTCATAAAATGCTATGCTTAGGTACTTTTAAAATATCTTATTTACACTTGGTTAAACAATGAAAACAATAAAATGTAAACAAGTTTACGTAAAAAAATATTGTTTAACTAAACGCAAGGTTAATTAAATGGTTTTAATGAATTATGAGTTGTTACATTTTAACAATCAAGTCCTTTCATTTTTCTTTTTTGTTATACAAAACGTTGCCCCACATTAGGATTTTCTCCTGTGTCGTGGGTGCGTTTACAAACATACAAGTTCACATACACAATGACAGTTGACACCCAGACACGAAACAACAATTTGTGGATCGCATCGCACAAAGTGTTGTTCAGTACGGGAATCGAATCCGCGACACGTTGCGCGGCAGCCGGTTGCTCAGCCACCGCAGTTTACCGCACCAACCGTGCAGTCGCAGTCGGCAAGGACGTTGAATGCAATCCAACAACAGTAACATTATAGGTAACTATCTAAAACTTAGAGACTTAGACATATGGCACACTTTGATTAATTATAGAATGTCTATTTATACAGACTTTGGACACTTTTATAGCAAATACTTTTAGTAACTTTAAGATATCTATGAATTAAATAGGTAGGTACTAAACTTCTTGTTTGAATCCTTGTATCTATGGATAGTAGGTACCTAACACAGAGAAAATTTAACACCTCAAGAATTTCTTTTGGACTTTGAAAATGTGATACCTAATCTCAGCTACCTAATTAATTCGTATAACCTACCTAAGTTAGTAGGTAAGCACCTGCCTACCTACCGAAAGGCGAGCGAAAATATAGCGAACGTACATATCCTTTTTGAATTTAGGTACAATCTAAGCCATCTGGAGCTAACTAGGTACCTGCCTACTTCATTTTTTAACATTTTTTTATCTGCCTGAACTATGTTGACGTTCACGAACATATTTCTATTCATTATTGCATCTGGTACATTTTTATCGATATGCATAGCAAAAGATTATTGTAGTAGTGACTATTGCAATAATAGCAAGCAGCATACTCTGTGTAAATATCGGGTAAGACATTTATTATTAGGTCGACCTAATGTCATCCTATGTAATGACATCAAAGCATAGGGCGACACAGGCCACTAGTATCGGATCGACTGGTGCTCGTGTTGCTCTATGCATCGAAATGCCAAGATTACGAAGAGAATTCACGCAATATTTGGTTTTGTTTTGACCCATTGTGCTAAGCTTATTTAAAAACCGGATAAGTAGGTATCTTCTAAGTACCTACTAGCAAAGTAAGCAGTAACAAATAGCGACTTGTAGGTACTCATTACACTTGTTTTTTATCTTTATAACACTTATATTTTGCTATAATAGTCAAAGGAGCCAGCCAGTCACTGCACAGCTTACGAAAAAACAATTTTGAGCGAAAATGACAAAATAAATATTTTAGACAAAATTAACAGTCGACGTAATAAAGTCGCTGCCGGTGAAATACGGTCACTACCATCTGCTGGAAGTATGCTGAAACTGGTAAATTGATTTCTGTCTTTTAAATAAAATGCGTATGTATTAAATACTTATATAGAAAATTTCGACAATGTTACAATACAATTTAAAACTTTGTTGGCCCTACCCAATTAAATGAGAAGAATAAAAAAAAGACTTCTTTAAAAAAAATCAATGAGAATTTATTTATTCTAGTCTATAGTTTCCGAATTGGACATAACAGCATAAATCCTGTAGATAATGGCATGTCCATTACAGAGTTCTTGCTTGAGTTGAAGGCGTTATATTGTTTGATTTTAAATAAGTATGTAGATTAAATATAATGCATTCGTTAAATTAATACATATATAATTAAACAAACCCGAAGGCGTAAGTCTGTTATGTTATGAGTCCCATTTAATAAGAGACTAGGCACAAATGTCCAATTTGGAACAAAACCCGATTATACTACTCGTTTTTATGGCCGACTAGGAACTCAAGTGTACAAGTATTTTAAAGATCGAAAGATCGAGATACTCATTTTATTTAATTCAAAGAAGTATGTACCTACATACTTTTTTTTAATTTCATATTTATTTTAGGGGCTTTTAACCAATAGGCTATGTCACCCCCACCCCATCGTAACCCAAACTTTTCTATCTAAAATCTTTTTGACTTAATTAAAATAAGAACAAAATAAAAACGATATATTTTGTTCTTATTTTATGATCGATTCCAACCGGATGATCTGTTAGTCATTAGAAAAAGGTTTTGTTTAGGTAGTAGTAAAGTAACTGATTATAATGATGATATGATTGATATCTTATATGTACGACACATTTACCTAGGTGTGGAACAGGGAGTTAGAAGTTTCAGCACAGCGGTGGGCAGACCAGTGTGTTAAACATAACGTTCCAGATATTCAAGACACTTGTCGAGATTTGGGTGAGAAAATCTGTTAGTTTAATGCTTGCTAAATTCATTTCAAAATCAGAAGCAATAAATGATGTTATCGTCAGCATTTCTTGAAAATTCTCATTTTAATTTGAAAAGAGCACATCAAAATCTACACTATTCAAAATTTCAAAATTTCAAAATTCCCTGAAAACTTTTCAAGTAGGACTACCAAATTATTGGAGTAACCGTATTTAGTATTAAAAAGTTAGAACTATTACATTGAATTTGTACCTACTTATAAGTATTTATTTTCAGGTAAAGTGACTGTCGGGCAAAATATTGCGACCATACATGGAAATTCTCCTGGATTAACTCCACTGGCCCTCGTCGATGTATGGTACATGGAATTATTGAATATAAATTCCTCAATACTATCACGATACGTACCGTGAGTTTTAATTGAAATGCCTTTTTTAAAAGTCTAGGTATAAACGTTATATAGGCAATTAACACTTACAACTATTTTAGTTAAAATTTTTATTATTTACTTCTGAATAAAGTATGCATAATGCATTATGTTATACGTAAGATAATTACGTACATTTCAATAAAACATGTTCCAAAGGTCATAGGACTAATAAATACAAGAACGAAGAATTTAGTAAAACTAAAAAAGCTAGGTACTAATTTTTGTATATTGCAAAGGAGTGACCCAAAAGGGGCGAACCAAAGTTATCGACATAGCCCAAAGGATATGTAAGCTGAAGTGGCGGTGGGCCGGTCACGTTTGTCGAAGAACCGATAACCACTGGGGTAAACGTGTTCTAGAGTGGAGGTTGAGTCTATCTGTGCAAATGTAGTATAGGGCGCCCTCTAGGTAGGTGGAGTGACGACTGCAAAGTGGCTGGTAGTGGTTGGATGATAAGAGCTGAAGATCGGGCTCAGTGGCGTGTCATTAGAGAGGCCTATGTCCAGCAGTGGACAAATAGGGAGTGATGATGATGATGATGATTACCCAAGAATATTGTTCAGTAACTTTTACCATTTAATAGTGACATTTGACATTGCAGGTCGTCGGATACGGGTCATTCCCATTACGATTACTTTACTCAACTCATGTGGGAGGAAACAAATGAAGTTGGTTGCGGTGGAGTTACATTTAAAGTATGACAAATATGTAATGTATTTTATTTTTAATACAGTTAATTTTGTAGTTTTAAGGTCGTAGGCAGTAAACAGACTGGTATCTGTAAAGAATAAGTAGTGATAGTGTGAGTATTTATGAAAAAGACATATCGAGGAAATGTATGCTTAATTTTATCGAAGTAAGAAAAGTATGAGAATAGTGTCTTATCTTTTTTTGTTTTTATGGATAGCACTAAAGTGTGCTCGACTCAGGAATCGAACCCTTATTCAGAATTCGTGCTTATGACCACTCGATCATGAGACAGTTGAATGCAAAAAAAACACACTAATACTATAAATGTGAAAGTTCATATTTATTAAAGTTTCACATACATAGGGTATGCGCTGATTTAGGTGATAGGTTGTCGCATATCTGGCTCGAAGCAGGCGTAAGAACGGGGTGGTTTTTAGTCAGTAAGAGTCTTACACTCCCCCTCTAGCTTCACCCAAGGCGGGAGACGTCATTCGATGTTTTCTCCCCTCCAAAACGTTGGATAACTTGATCTTACCTCTTTTTTGTTTCTAAACAGGAACGACTTGAAGATGCAAGTACGAAATACAGGATAATATACAGACTGGTATGCAACTTTGCACCAGCAGGTAATTTTCGAAATAGATCAGTTTATTCTACCGGTGTACCTTGCTCTAGATGTCCTTTCGATGGTATTTGCGATCCAATACACAAAGCATTATGCTGTGAGTATAAGTTTGTTAATGTAATATACATAATTTAGATAATTTAGAAACTACAATAAAATCACCTCCTACTATTTTCAGCTAATAATCCCGCAGTTATAAATAAAGATGATAGTGTTGTTCCCACTGATTCCGACATCTTAATGGGACATGCAACTCAACAAATTGAAATATTCAAAAAAACAAATGTTATAGATACTGTAACGGAATATAGTAGCGATAGTACAGAATTTACCGAAAAATCTCCTTCTATCAATGCAGTACCAAAGGAAACATTAACGCCATTTGATTATTTCTCTCATTTATATGATTATAGAAGACATATGATCACTTCATGCACAAAACATAATTTGTGTAAAGATGTGATTATGGATGATTTCGTGGAATTACTGAAGAAAAAATTAAGCAACGACCCTTTACTTAAAGATTTATTAACCACTACCACATCATCAGCTTTAAGTACCTATTCAGATGGTACGTTTAGTGATATTGGCGTGGCAGCATTTGTTAATAAAGTATACAGCAAAAAAACATCCCCTAGATCAAGAAAAACTACTTCAAGTGATTGTGTGAATTCAACTTTTTTAGTTGATTTGATTGAAGCTGTAATCTTCAGAAATGGTGGTAAAGTATTTGAATATGTGAGTGTTAATGGTTTTAAAACATCCATGATATTCATCATAAGTAACTTGTTTTCTTTCAGACAGAGTTTCGGCGTCTGAGGAGTACAATACAAATTCTCAGACTTTGTCTTCAGTTAAATCAGTTAAGGTGCAAGCTGAATTAGCGGAGGCCAAGCAAAATGATGATTTTACTGGACATTATTTTTTTCCCGAAGAAGACGAAGACAGTAACACAGAAACTACAGAAACATACTACGATGACGTTAATTTGCCTGTGTCAGACTTGGTATTGGATGATTTAAAAATGAGTACAATAACGAATGACTTTTTGGAAGATATTCTTGAATCTGATATCATAGTTGAAAGTACGACTACACTTGTTTCACTATCACCAGATAATATAAACCTCTACAAAAGTGGTCATGGTGTGATGAAAAAGTTTTTACAAAACATTGTTGATAAGCCTCGCACGTCCCAAAATAATGAACAAATCTTTGTAGACTGATAGACATTTATTAGTACTTCAGTAATAAATGTGAATTATTGCGACATTTTAGAATATGCACATAAAAATATTAAAAGTAAAGAAAATTTTAGCTAAATATATGGCGAAAGGAGAGGAACACTAATCTTTAGAGAAGTGTTATTCATACATGTAGAGAAGATATAGGAAAATAATTTTCCTATGTTGCCCATAAAATTCATAAAAGTCTTCACTACATGTATTGATAGAAAATTCAAAAAATACGTAACGACTTTACAAAACTGAGTTTCGCAGACGAATTAATTTGTTGCCATGACAATTCAATTACACTTCTTTCCAAATGTTTATTACTGATTATTGTAATCATAATTATGTACATTATTTAAGATATTTTTACAAACATTTTGTACATTGTCAATGTATATATTTATGAATCATAAAATAATGTTTTTATATTCTTTAAACATTTGGTGATATAATTTTGAATACAACTTTGTCTAAAACAAACTGGATAATTATTATTTTGGAGAACATGGTTGTGGTAGATTTTTTTGCTTCGTTGCACGGACATTGATCACGTGACTTATCTATTTGGCTTGATCTCAAAATTTTATTTAATATTAAATGGTAAATATCACTATACGATACGGACATTTCTGTATTTTTTTCGTCACAGCCTCTAAAATATTGAGCTCCCTCTCTCTTTCTTCTACCGTTATTGTTATTACAATCGCATTCATGTCTTTCCAAAATACTTTCTGTTGTATCACCTCCTGTACTATATGAGTTAATATCTGTGTTTATATTCACTATGGGAATGTTCGTATAAGAAAAGTGTCCAACTACATGTGGCGTTTGTTTTTTTGTATCAGAATTTCGTCTACGAACATTTAGTGATCGACGCTCGCAATAATCTCCATCATCAGCATCATGTCCAGGAGAACGATCATTTGGATTATAAGAATTATCATTACCATCAGATCCATCAGATCCATTAGATCCATCAGATGCTGTTGTTCTTATGTTACGATCCACGAATTCACGAGTACATGTATGTGTTTGCGTACATCCGTCCACATATCCAGGAGGTGTACGTGAACCGCCATCGCCTGGGATATATATTTGTGTGTTTCCGTTATCTGAACCTACACTAAATGCTGTCCATGTACACGTCACTTTTCGAGTGCAATGTTTTACATTTATAAACTGGGTGTTCATAGTATATTCAGTTGTGGTGTCCACGCGTCTAAAGTTATGCTGGCCTAATAATTTTGGGTTAAGTTTTCTGAGATGCATTAGTTCATCAAAGGACAAATATTTTTCTGTTTTATTGTGCGCAGGTGGATGAGAAGTATCATCCTTAAATGAAACTGTTATTGGTTCTGTAGTTGTTATTAGTCTTGCTGGTTTCACGTTTTTTTTTGTCTTTAGATTATTTGATAATGTTGTAAATCGCAAAAGTTTCACTTCAGGATTTTCAAGTTGCCAAAAAGGTTTCACAGATACATGTTTTTTCAATTGTCGTCGTTTCCGCAAACCAGAATGAGAACCACGATCAAACGAGTGGTAAATGTAGTCGTCACTTTGTAAATTATATTTTGGGAATTCGGCGAAAGTTTTATGTATTAGATCAGAATCTTTGTTTTTCGGTACTTTTTTATTGTTTTCTATGTCATAGGTCTTAGTCTTCGGAGATAAAATTTCTAATGGCTTTTTATGATTTCCGCTCCGCACTACTACGTTAGGAATCAAGTCGTAATATTGATATGTACCAGGTTTTCTGATAGCATCAAATTCATTGTTTTGTTTACGTAAACCTGGACATATAGTTGTAAGACAGTACGATCTTGTAGTTGTAGAACAGGGAGTACTGCATGGGCAATTTGTATGGTAGTTGCAATTAGTGAAAGCGGGCGTGGGGCATGTCTGTTGTGTCAGCGGGCATGGCTCAGGAGATAGAGGAATATATGGAAGTGGGCATGGCGGGTCTTCCATGAATTGAGAACACGATACTTCGGTACAGGTCGATGGACACATAGTTGTTTGACAGCATTCATGTGGTGCTTTTGTGCATTGATGGGATGCACAATTATTTTGATTCCTACGGGTACATTGACCAAAATGGTTAAATTTTCTATAATCTGTGCTAGAGTACGAATTCGTAGGTTCAGTTGTAAAATCGTATCTTCTAAAATTTGGGTTGGTATTCATTGTGGTTGTACTCTCATAGTTATGTTGTAGTGGTTCGTGTCCATGATAAAGATGAGAGTGTCCACGATCGTACTGGTAATGAAATTCGTTGTTATTTTGTGATATATTCATTAAATTATTATTTCTAAATAGTTGTTTACGGAGTTGTGGAATGCGTTTCACGCTACCTGAAACCAATTTTTTTTTATTTATATTTGGTAGGCCGACGTTATACCAATATCTCGCTAGTGGTAAGCGATGATACGATCTGCGATGGAGCACGTCGTCCCATAGGCAACCTAAAAACGTCCTAAACTACAAATCAACGATTTATATGTACCTACTTGTAGTTGATTTGTAGTTTTAAAATATCCAGCAAGCTTTATGTGTTTGATTAATAAGAAGAATGAAATACGCCTACCATTCGTTTTGTTAGCCAAAATATGCCTTGTTTTCTGATTCCGCTGCTTGTTGCTAGAATTACTATTTACAATGTTTTGTCTTAGGATATTGCGGATGGGATCTATTTCATGCTTCACGGAGTCGTTTGATAAATTTAGGATCCTGAGTAAACTGTTCATCGGATGATGGTTTTGGTTCATTAATTTGGTAACTGTAACCAGGTAATATCATTCATTAGTTAAAATATTGATGATTTTATGATTTTCTTGTAATTCTTAAGAATTAATTAAATTAATTTATATATACATGTAGTTATATAGTTTTTTTAGGGGGGAAAATCATCGAATCGAATGACTGCTCCCGCCTGGGGGAGGCGGGAGCGAGTGTCATACTCTTACTGTCAAAAACCACCCCGTTCCTTCTCCTGCACGTCGAGCCGGAGCCTCGGTTACCCGTTAGGTTGTCCGTAGTTTACGAATAGGTACTTAACCTAAAAAAACATAGAAATAAGAAAAAGTGAACATTCATTAATAGCAGAACATGACATACAATCTTTTTCGTGGGCACACAGTCCATGATATTTGTCATCGGATTTCATATTATTTCTGCATTGAGTTCCAGGGTACCCTATGGAATATACCGGCCTTCCATGCACGTTTCCCCTGGGTGCAAAGTTGCAAACTAACCTTTCTACCATGGTATTTCTTTCATTTACCTGAAACCGTTTTAATTAAGTCTATTATCTGTTTATTATTTTATAATAATGTTTTTTAGTATCTATAAAAGTAGATTATTTGTTATTTACATAGAATTTCGATTTGCCACATCCAACATATTCTGTATTAGCCCACAGAAGTTGTGTTAAATGATTGGTTTTGTAGTCTTGAGATCTGAAATTGTAAAAACTGTTAAAAAACATTAAAGGCAAAAGTTAGTTGCGAAATAGAAGCGTGACTGATAATTATAACCCATGCTTTTGACAGTATTCCAACCATCCAACAGACTATATTGATATCATATTGGATATATTGTTAAAGTTATAAGTTATTCAATTGAATTAGGTAATTTAGTATGTCTAGTAGGTATGACAACTGGTGGCATTGCACCGTGAGTCCGTGAATGTGTCGCTGGTTTAATTTCCACTCGGGACAACACATTGTGTGAACCACAAATACATAGATGCTCAGGGTCTGGGTGCGATGTGTATGTGAGATATGTTCTTACAAACGTGCCCATGGCTCAAAAGAAAAACTTTTGTGGGGGCAGAACAGAAAATCTTACAAAATACAAATAAATGCCTCACATTTCATGACGGATTAAAATAGAAATTTAGAATCTGGGGGCACGAAAGTGCCCCCGCCAAGTCGAGCGCCAAGCAAACACTGCCGTATCATCCTTTACTGGAACCATTGCGCCGCATTTTCAGGCCCCTCTTTGAGAACCTCTGGATAAGACCAGAACGCAGAAATTGTCGTCGACCAGTAAGCTTTAATCACATACTTAAAACCCAAATTTTCAAGTCTACAGGTCATTTAGTTCCGAAGTTAAGTGAAAGCGAAGTTTCGCATTTATGTCACTCACTCACTCACTCATGATCATCAAAAACTAGTACTTCTCATAACCTCAGAGAGCTTAAATTTGGTACAAAGTTAGGGTTTTATGGCCACATAACGGGAAAACTATAAAAACTAGGATAATCGAAGATCTGGAGTAACTGATGATCTTGATTAGATTAAATAAACAAATTACACTAAAATATTAATTTCACTAAAAATTTGGTCTAAATATAATAATTCAATAATATAATTCAACGGCAAAGTCACACAACATTAACTATAATAATAACAAAATCGCAATTGACCCTTAGACTTGGCACGACTTTGTTATATTTTATTACTCTTTAGAGATAAACTAGCAGCTCCATCGAGACTTGGCTAATTTTTTACAGAATGTTTTGGTGGGATTACATTTACAATAATAGGAAAAGTCAAAAATGAATAGTAGTAATCTTTTCAACTTACTTATTGTAATATGCAACACTTCCAATATAGTCTACCACTTGCATGAACCACATCTCGACGAAACTCTTAACACTGAGGCCTGGAGAAGGACCTAAGATACTGGCAATGTTCTGACCGACATTCACATTTTCTGAAACAGGGATTGTGGTGGTTTTTAGTTAGAGTTTAAGACTCCCTCTCGCCTCAACCGAGAGGACGAAGTCATTGGATGATTTCCCTTAAAAAAAGGGGATAACTAGACAGCGGTGTATAAATTCAATGTTAGCATCCATTTTTGACTACGCCACTATTTATCAAGGGGTGTGCATGTTTCTCGAGCAAAATTCTTGATGTTCTTCAGTTATAGTTAGACCCTCATGATGTTCTTCAGTTTTCAACATTTTTTTGTACCTAGCACAGACTCTGCTATTGAGCCCAGTAGAAAAAGTCCATACGTTATACATATACAGGGTGTTTTGTAATTAGACCATAATCGAGATGATTACTACAACCCCATATGTGATTGGATCTCCATATACCCCATATGAGATTGGATTGGTAAGTATGTATATTGGATCACATTGAATTGAATAATTATTTTTGTGTTGAATAATCCATTTATCAATAAGGGGTGCGCAGAAGTGACTAGTTAAATCTACACATATGTAGGTACTTAGATGATATAGCATGAGGCCATTGTATACCTAAATCTCGACACTGATCTTCTTTGTCCGGGTATAGAGATGGATCGCATTGATCAGCCCAGCGCTGCGCTGCAGTTGCCAGTTCATTTGACCAGTACTGCGAATATTAGAACAATTATTAACAGCAATTACCTAATTATTTATTCCATACGAATTTCTTCAACAACCCAGATGCAGAATCGGACTGGGCTACTCTAGGAAATGTGTGCCACGATAAAATTGAAGTAAGACTTACTTATACTTATTTCTATTACCTGCAAAATTGCCAGCAAGATGCAATTACACCTGTAGCAATTGCTAGAGGATTACGTTGCTAGGTACTTGGTATATTAATGAAACATTGATTCTACCAGCAATGTTATTATCATTTAAATATGAACTATAAATAGTATGCCATATGACATATTTCATAACGTCAATATAAAAAAGCTGTAAACGGGCCGACGACGGCGCGCTTAGGCATAAAACGCCGTGTCGGAGTCGTGCTCGACCCGTACCGGAGCAGTGTTTGTTAGGTGCACGATGATCTTTAGCATGAGTAGAACAAAAAAGCACTTACAGTTTGCGATTCTTACGGCATAAAATGATAAGTTACCAGTTTTAATGCCTTGTGATTTTACTTACAATTTTCTTCATATTGGCAGCAAATGGAAGTATTTTTGAGTGTCCCATAGCAACGAAGTTCCTCCTTTCATTTATATTATTAATTAATTCAAATTTATTCTGATTTGTTAGTAGTGCCGACTGGTCATAGGATATGCACGAAGGACCGGGTCCTTGTATCTGTAGAGCAATAACTAATACAATTAAAATACGCCTGTGTAACAACTAACATGTCATAAATAAAATGTACCTTGAACTTGCAAAGCGTATGATTGAGACATATTTCACAGAAGTCTGTCGAAATCGCACTAAAACCATTGAAACAACAAATAAATACAATTAATTTAACAATTATCATAATAAATTAATAACAACAATACATAAATATATTTTTCCAACGTTTAAACATGGCTGTCGTGGCCATATGGATATCGTGAGCTGTTAAAACCGTCCTGTCTGATGTCAGTAATTAAGATGGTGTATTTTGTAACAACTGGTTATGTTTTTTGTGTTTCTAATATTATTGTTAACTATTTATGTTTCAGAAACAAATAATTTCGTCCTAAAAAAGGACAATTTGGGTGGTTCCTATAATGTTTACCACTATAGCAAAGATCTAGTTTTCCAAGGTAATAAATTACTTCAAATTCTTATATTTAGGGTTCATTTTCATTTTCACTTTTATTTCGTCTAAAAATAACTAAATTTAACGTACTTCTTATTGCAGATGATAAAAACGTCTTATCGAGTTTACCAACACCGAAATTAATTATTCCCAAAACACATAAAGTTATAAACAGAATAAAATCAAATCCTGCACTGAACAAGTCTGTTAAAAATGAACCTAAAGAAGTTATAATAAAGAGACATATTCAAGGTAAAGATTTAGCATACACGTTTCCCTTTTTTAGAAGTACCAAAAGCACTTCAACTTCCACAATAGAACAGAAGAGAAAATTGCCAGTTGTAGAATTAGCTTCATATTCAGATTCAGACAATCTAAATGAGTATTTACAATATTTTGATGAAATAGAAAAAAAACCGTTTCCATTTTTCAATGATATTAAAAAGGCACATGGAAGCAACGATATACCTAAAAATTTTGAAAATTGGTACAAACAAAATAACAATTCAAAGCATTCAAAAGATAAGGTTTTAGATTTGAGAAGCTTACCATCTAAAAGTTGTCAAAGTTGTGAGCAATGTGTCTGCCCGAATATGAAGAAGTCGGGAAAGGTTCCGTCAATAAGTAACGTCCATGATTGTACAAGAAGGCCTGAAACAATGTCTACGTTTAATTTCTATCCACCTTATCCTCAACCACCGACAATTAGACAAGTGCCACCAGGTCCTAAAGATGTAAGCATCAATTTTCCGATGGGAATTGGTGTTCCAATGGGTATCCCATTCGGTATGCCAGCTGGTTATCCAGGAGGTATACCGGTGGGTGTTCCAGCAAATGTTCCCATTGCTTATGCGCCAGGTGTTCCGCAAACCTGTTGCCAACAAAACCATTTTAAAGAAGTAGAAACGCACAATAAGCCTTGCCGGCACTCCAACGATCATTTATATTACAATGATGACGATGAATCTGTGAAAATTTATAGAGACAGCAATGATGACTATAACAAGAGGAAACGCAAACATAAGGGCGAACTTTTTGTTAATATAGACTACGATGTTGAAGAAACCAAAACATCCAATCAGAATCTTTTGGGTCGAAATAATCCGAATACATTAGCGAAGGACATATTTAAAGACTTAAACCAATCATATACCAACACAATTATGAAAAAATGTTTCTGTTGTTCCTCGTCTATTTCAGATATTAATAATTTTCTGTTGTCAATAATGGTTATTATTTTGTTTTCAAATACACTAATGCTACATTAATGAAATATATGATTAAGAATGAAATTTTCTTTTGAAGGTTGCCTTGTTTTAATTTTTGTACAGATCTATGTCTGTGTTGTTGTTGCAATTAATTAAGTTTTATATCATGAAAATACTTGTTATTTGTCAAGTACCTAAGTATTTTGATGGTTATTACAAAACTATATATTTGTAAGAAGGTGACATATCACCATGGCTTAGTAGATATGTATATCTACTTCTTGTTAGAGTTCTAGTCTAGCTTAATAGAATATCTTAATACGTATAACTGACACGTTTAGTTTATTTATAACATTTTTAAATAATTGAGATTTTATAGATTTTTTTATTTACTTAGATACTTATATTAGGGTATGGTTCCATCAAATGAAATTTTATTATGAAAAGCGCTTAGTCGAACGAAGAACTCCTCCACAGAAGCATCGTAGCGTGAAATGGAATGGGTTATTCTGAACAAAATGTTTTGTGTCTGACCTATTTCATTAAATAATACCTACGAATGATTTTTTTGTATAGTACGACTCAGTTAGTACAAATGGTGGATAATCCTAATGCTGCCATATCATAATCCTAATTTTTCTTGCACAACTTTTATGTGTCTATTTGTAATTTATTTATTTATTCTTTTATGTACACAATTTTAATATGGTACATAAGGCGAACTTGATGCCATATGGCATTCTCTACCAGTCAACCTTAGGGTTTAAGTTGAAAATCGTTTAAATGCTAGCTTTTTTCTTTTTTTAGAGGTATATTTAATGGGCCGACGTTTGAATACTATTTTGCCTGGTGGTAAGCGATGATGCGTCTTCGATGGAGCACGTCGTCCCATAAGCAACCTATCCACTCGGGCCTTGAAGACGTTAGACCTACTAAAGGGTTTTAGGAAATACAGACTCTGGCAAAGAATTCCACTTCTTAGCAGTACGCACTAGGAAGCTTGACACGAAGCGCTTCGTACGTGTGGGTGGGACATCTACCATGAATCGGTAACGCTTCACAGATTGCCTTGTGGTACGATTATGGATAGGACATAGGACTAGAGGGAATCTAGTTGTGCAATTCCCCCGCACACTCACTGAAATGTATCTGGTAGAAAACCGAAGGGCTTGCAACCTTACGCCTGTGTCCGAGGCTTTGAAGCCGGGCCTTCACAAGCGCATCATCGCTTATTCGGTTTTTTTTACCCATAATAGTGTAATTTATGTAGGCGTTTACAGCTATCGCTTATCTAACAACAACCAAGCTAAATATGTGAATCATAGCTATCTTACTATTTGCCCTTAAATGTTTATTTTAAAGTACATATTTACACAGATTTGTAAATATTTTTCAAAGAATATCTAAACATATAATTAAACTGTAGAAGTGTAAATTCTGTACATTGAAAATATAAAAATATAAATAGCTTCTACTATTTGTTTGTGTTACTAGATAGACACCGAACCCAAAAATGTGATTACATTTTTTTTGTCTGTCTATCTGTGTGTTCATGCATCACGCAAAAACTATTGGCCGGATCACAATGAAACTTAGTATGTTTATACTTTAATATCCTGGGCATCACAGTGAGTAAGTACTTTTTAATATAATTATACATTATCCCACAGTTACTGTACCAAATGCAAATTTTTTGTTTTGTTTTTAAAAAAACGTTGCCCCACACTAGGATTTTCTCCTGTGTCGTGGGTGCGTTTACAAACACACAAGTTCACATACACAATGACACCCAGACCCGAAACAACAATTTGTGGATCACACATAGTGTTGTCCCGTGCGGGAATCGAACCCGCGACACGTTGCACGGCAGCCGGTTGCCCAGCCACCGCACCAACCGTGCAGTCAAATATTAGTTTGTCGAATGTTATGTTGCCCGTTGTGGTCCTTTCGCCGTAACTGTAGGGCCGATGGTTCAAATTAGCTTGAACGGCTTTCATAAATGGGAAAAATTTGTGAGTTTTGACGTGAAAGAGTAACAAACAAACACACACACACACACACATACATCTTCACAAACTGTCGCATTTATAAAATTAGTAGGATTATACATAATTCACAATTCAAAAATCATATGCGCAAAAATGTACCGAATTTCGGATAAAACATGTTTTTATAATATAAAGCGTAATCTGTGAAAAAATGTAGTACCTATACATGTTATAATGTTGCTAGAGCTACATAGCATTTCAGACACATGTTGCAAATCAGCGGCATTTCATTGTTTATGCGGTAACAAGATAGACGTCATAGACGATGCCATTTAGATACAATTTCGGATAAAATTATGAAGGCGTTTTCATAAAACGTAATCTACGAAAAAAATTAGTATAGGTACATGTTATAATATTACTAGAGGTACTTACAATTTTACATAGCGCCTAATGTCAATGACATGTTGCAAATCAGCGGCATTTCATTTCTTATGCAGATAACAACATACACGTCATAGACGTCATAATTTTTTTAAAATCGAGACTTCTTTATATAATTTCAGATCGGGGTTAATTTGATCCAGTTTCACCCCATATAGACACAGGTCTGCGTGTTCACCGCTAAAAAACTGCCGTAGGTCGTTATCTCCAAAGATACGACTTTCAAAACTTCAAAAAAAGAATGTATGCCTTCTTAAAAGATCGGCAACGCACTTGTGTGTGTCCAGCCAGATAGTCAATGAAATAAATTAAAATAGAAGTAATTGCCTCTGGCCAATTTACTAAGATTCTGGGGTTCAATATAAAATTAACACATCATAAGGGACACCGATAATGCAATTACCTAAGATGCTCCTCTAGCCATCAAATCGAAATTGATATGCATAACCTTAGTTGACCCTTTTCGAAGTAAGTTTGTACGGTATATGATTTGGTTATGACAGCAGAAATTCAACGAACAAAACAAATGACACTAGACTATAGAAGTACCCTAAAAATAGAAATTCATTACTCATTTCGATGATGATTAATGGACATTGAAGTGATGTAGATTTTTGATGCTTTTTATTTTTGTCTGATCCGAGCTAGACAGTTTAACAGATTAAACAATTTATCGGAATGAAACAACGGTTTGCTCATTCATTTATTTTTAAGTGTACTTATTTCAGTTCATGTAAACGATTTGTTTTTGGCTGTCTGTATCGAATGATTCCAATTTTGAATTTGAACTCTAGGTATATCTGTGGTATATGAGAGGCGTTCGTAAGAAATAAGAATATAATGGCATTATAATAATAGTTCCATGTCATATTAACATAAC